AAAATAGTGACGTAACGCGGCCGTAACGCGACGCAGACGGACCCGGTGGAATCGGCCCGTCCACACGGTGGCGTGCGTTGAAGCTTCAACGCTTCTTCCCATTCACTTTGAATGGGGTGACGTCACGCTTTGCCGAACTGCATTATGGTTCGGTCGCTTCGCTTTGCTCGCGTTGCTCGCTTCAAAAGTTGAGAAAAGTTCAACTTTTGAGCCAATCAAATCATATGCCAGTACAAGCTCTAGCCAGTCAAACCGCGTGCTTGTGTGTCCGGGGCGGGAGATTCATGTGATTGGTTGTTGGTCGAGTTTCAGACACGCCCACCAGCAAGCTTCAACGCACGCCGCCGTGTGGACGCTGCGTAAAAGTGATAAGCCACATTTACAATATCCACCTTACTTCCTTATTTATTATTTCATAAAAAATAATGAAAAGACTAAAGACAGTATTTTGTAGGTCACGACTCGTACACAGTATAACTGTATAAATGTGTCCTGGTCCTCACTCGTTGCCATGGGAATATCTCTCTCCTTCCAGCCGTCTGTCAACAAATGACAGAATATGTGGCTCACTGAGTCTGAGAGTGGATTCAGTTTGTTTCTTTCTTTGGCACTGGTGGAGGGCAGGCTGCCACGACGGCCTCTTGTAGTAGATCCTGGTTCTGAGTAAGCAGGAACTTCATGTTTATCCACGTTAAGAGCCAAGTTTATTCAGGACTTCCAGGGTTCAGGTCACTTCACATCTCAGACTCTGTCCCAATATCATATACTCAGTATAAGTTGTATGTTAGCAATGAATACATTTGAGTGTACATTACCTTCTTCACATTAGAATGTAATAAGAAAACATAAAACTGAAATGTTTCCATGCCTCTGCCAAATGAATAGACAGAGACACCCAAATATCTATATATATATATATATATGTATTGTTTGTTTGTTATCTTTGTTAATCTTTCAGACCCTGCCTTTCTTTTCCATCTTCAAATACAGCCTCAATTTTGGAAACAAACTGTTTGGAGCATAGGAGTGCAAATCTCAAAAAGTAACTTAGATTTGGGAAGTAGGATCAAATGTGCTCAAAGGTTTGGTTAAATATCACTCATCACACAAGCACTACAGGCTGTGTACAATAAATCGGTCCAGTGTTGTCATAATATCTGGTTAGGATTTTGACTCACATGATATGGAAGCTGGTGAAAAAACTGAAATTCTTTTTCATCATAATATTTTTCTAAAATCAATTGAATTCACATCAGTATTTAAAAAAGTGTGCAGCACATAACAAATGTATTTTAATTTTGTTGGCATAACTTTTACTTATATAAGTACATTACCCCAGTGTATACCACGCCCGTTGTTGTAAGTAGGAAACTGACGGTTGGGGCACAAACGCATTACTCGAAGCCAAAAAAGATTTACCATTTTATTGGGTGTATTTAACCAAAAAGTCATCACAAAGATGCAGAAATTATAAATAAATACAGACGAGCTCTGTTAATGTCAAATAGCAGAGCAAAGAGCAAATCACGTATCATGTGAAGGCAGCAAGAAGTCTGGTAATCATCACTTTAATGTGTAACCTTAAGACATTATGAGGCATCAAACAAGGTTCAACTGAGGACAATCAGTACAGTAGGGTACACACGTTTACAGTGTTTTATAGTGCAGAGGGGTGAAGTCTAAACAGTATCAGATAAGGGTAGAAGTGGTCAGAACCAACAGTGTGTAGGATTTATAGATCTAAATAGAAGTCATATTTATAACTATATTTCCATGGATGTTAAATAAACTGAAACGAAGAATGGTTGTGTTTTCTTAGCTTAGAAGTAGCCCTTCATTGCAATGTTACTGCAGCCTTACAACTAGATGCCACTTCATCCAACACCCTGGATCTTTTATAACACTGGACATTATAGTAAAAAAAAAAACAAGCTTAAAAGGAAAGTAACCTTACTTGGCTAAAAGCTCTCTGAACATTTATATCCGGGGCGAGAACATAATAGCTGTGCATAATAGTTTTATTACAGTAGTGGACAGTCGCTTGATCTTCTTTCATCCTTTTGAACTCTTAAAACATTTAAGAGCATCATGAACCCCCTCCTTCATCCCTAAAACAACTGGACAGTTTAACCTGACAGTTTAACCAAGAAAACGATACACATTTGTTTCCACTAACCCGTAACGCTATCTGTTCATCTGGATCCAGAGTGTTGGAGGTATCGGCCGTAGAGATGTCTGCCTTCTCTTAAATATAATGGAACTAGATGACACTTGGGTTGTGATGCTCAAAGCTGCATAAAAACGTGTAAAAAATACACAAAAGATATGTCTCTTCCAGGAAAATAAGGGCCAGTTACTCAAGAGAATCTACTGATCTGGTTGGGGGCTCTTTCACGTCGGAATTGTTTTCTTTCTTTAAAACTAAATCCGCCAACGGGTAAGCTTGAGCCTCTCCATCATGAGGCCAGATGCATGTTGCTTTTGCGCGGTAATGTTTTGCGGGTGTAGTTTGGAAGAAAAAATAATATTCCTACCTGAAACTGCTTCAATCACCACAAGTGCCATGTCATTTCATTATATTTGAAAGGAGATATCTCCAACCTTTTTCATTTTAATTGTTTTTGCGTACTGCCCCTTTAAATCTTGAAGAATGCTTTCATTGGTCTTGTTTGACAGCATCACACAGAGGACTGACACTGGGCTGAGGGTGAGGGACAGCACTGCGGTGCTTTAATGATAATGTGCTGTTGTGGTTCAGGTTCTCCACACACTGCAGGGTTTCCCCCCCAGGAATGTTTTTAGTGGTGGTAGCCCACCCTGATCCTCATAGTGTAAAATTATCAATTTCGTTTGTAGATGAGGTCGTAAACAAGTACATAAATGGTTGTGTAAAAAAAGACATCTGCTCTCTTTTCCCTTTTAAAGTTGTACTTTTAGGGTGATCATTTGTTAAGATCAGTTTTAAAACTCTTTACTGATCTTGAAGCCATCAGACACCAGTAGTTTCAACACAAACCATCTTACTGTAAATCTGACAGTTAATGCTGAATACGTCTGCCGGGAACCACTTGAGCTCAGCGGCTTAAAGACAGATCAACACAGTAGATAATTATGTCTAATTATGTGACTCATTGCGTGTTTAAACCACTGAAACTTTTGACTAACTGTCTCCACACCGGGTGTGGTTAGTTTAAAAAAGGAAACATGATTCCCTCGTCTGAAAGGCTTCTCTATCTAAAGTTCATTTAAGAAATATGAAGTAGCAACCTTTCATTGTCAACCGGTCCACTCTCTTTAGACATCACTGAAATATCTCAACAACTTCTGGATGAATTGCAGTTTAATCTTGTGCAGGCATTCATGTTTCCCAGACTATTAATCCTTCTGATTTCAGTGATCTCCCGAGTCTTCCTCTAGCACCACCAAGACATTTGTTGAAATTCAAACCTTTATGTCCCCTTAAGAATGAATTGAAAGGCCCGTCTAAACAGCCGCACTTGTGTGATGTATATGTATTTATTGCCAGACTGCCCGTAATCTTTATCATAGCTTAGTGGGACTTGCTCGATCTATTAGTGCATGTAAATGGTCATTGAGTGTATGTGGCAGAGTAGAGCTCACATATAGTATGTTGGAACAAATAGTTACAGTAGGATGAAATTCCCCTCATTAAAGACACAGAGCCCAAATCGCTAAATTGCTTTAAAATCTGAAGCAAAGATCAGTAAATGATGCAGTCATTCAGTCTGGATTATAATATATTAATGTCTTAGATCTTTAAGTCTGAAGCGAAGCAGGGAAACAGCCCCATGGAGGTTTTCCCATCAAATGTCCATCAAACTTTGTCGTATCACAGAGTAACAAAGCAAAACATGTGGGTTGACTTAGTTCAGCTCAAAAATATCCTGAACATCAGCTACATTCATGATGGTGAGACTAACATGTGTATACATAATGTTTATACGGTATTGGTTTGAAGTGGTCAGAGTTTCAGGTGTGATGTAAAATCACCAATGTTTATCACGTCTCTCATGCCTTGACTTTGGTACCGTGTGTGTGTGGGCTGTCAGAGAGTCGGGTGGCTCTCTGACCGAGGCCCGTCTGAGAGAGAGGAGTCTGGGGGGGGTGTGGGGGGATTTGAAGGCGGCTGCATGTCACCGCTGGGCCTCCTCACCTGTGTGGGGCTCAGCCTGTGCGACAGCTGCCTCCTCATACTCCTCCTCTTGGGCTTTCGAGGCCGCCTCCTCCTCTCCTCCCTTCCTCCCGCTCGGTCGCTCAGAGTGTCCGAGGACTCGTCGATGTACGCCAGGTTTTCTCCGAAGAAATCTAGCAGCTGGCAGCTGGAAGCAGAGGCAGCGTGGAGGACAGGGGAGGGGAGGTGGATAGGATTGCGAGAAGGAGGAAAAGAAGTGTGAAGAGGGGTGAAGCGAGTGTCCACAACAGTAGCAGCTGCATGTCTTGGGCTCTTGTTGACCACAGATACAGATCTCTCTGCTGGAATCAGTTTGTCTGCTTTGTCCATGTCTGCGGCTCTCGGTACTCCCTCCTCCATCTTGCTGGCTGTGAGGCAGGGCTGCAACTTGTGGAGCGCCAAAAAGGACGATGATGCAGAGGAGACATCTGATCTGGAGTCAAAAGGTGACTCTGATCCAGAGAAGGACCCCCCCTGCATGGCTACACATGCTGAGTCCAGTTCTAAGGTGGAGCGGGCCACAGGGACGGAGAAGGAGCGGGCCAGCCGATGAGGAAACGACCTGCCCTTCACCTGCAGGCCCAGTGCGGGGTCCACCCTCAACAGAGCCCCCACCCTCGGGACCGTTCCCACTCCAGCGGCACTGACCCTCTGCCTGGACTTGGCCACCAGCGCCCTCTCCAGAGAGGAAACGGCATCCAGCCGGCTCATGGAGCTGGAGAGGGCGGCCCAGCGGTTCGGCAGGTGTCCGTTCTCAGATCCTCCGCGGGACAGGTACCCCAGCGCTCCATCGCCCCCCCTGCGGATGCGGCGGCGCTCACTGCGTTTCCAGCGGCGGCGCTGCAGGAGGAAAGGGTCGTTGAACTCCAGAGGGTTAGGGATGCGGAAGTCCATGGACATGTTCTGGATGTTCTGGGTCCAATCTGTAGCGTGGGCCCTCAACTCCTCCATCTAAGAGAAAGTGAGAAAAGATTAACCTCTAAACTAAATTAAAGTGATATTCAAGATTTCTTTAAAAGGTAGGGTTGTATGAGAACTTATCCACGGTAATGACGCTGGACAAACCTTCAGATTAGTGGAACAGGCTCAGAAGTAAAGCATTGTCTTGCTGTTAGCAAAACATATTTTAGCCACCTAAAATAATAAATATCACTTTAAGTGTTGGCTATATTTAGAATATGTTCACTGCTTTACATCCAACATCCCTTTCTGGCAGGTACACTTAAAGTGATATTGTGCAGTACATTGCTTTTCTTCCTGCTTGTTTCTACAAACTGGGAGGCGACAGCCATCTATTGTGTTTATGAATAAGTATCTCACACAATTGAGGTATTGCTTTAAGTGCAGCTCTTCCTGTCTTGGTGTACAGTCCAGGATGTCCACCACTAATCTCTCACCTCAGCGCGGGTCCTCTTAGACAGCACCCTCAGCCAGTTGCCTATCATTGTGAGGATGGAGGCAAAGTATGCGAGACCAAACACAATCCAGAGCCAGACCAGAGGCTTGAAGAACCAGCCGCCGTCACGACCACCTGGACACAGAGAGAGTGGACTTTTAATGTGATGCACTGTTTCACTGATCCCCAGAGAGATGCAGTTGTTGCCTCCTCACAATAATCAGAGGTCAAGGTCTGATCGAAAACAGTCCTGGAGCGGGAAGAGAGACGTAGCAATAACATGGATGTCCTGGATTGATAACGATTGCTCTATCCACAGGTCCAGTGTCTCACAAACTATTTTGCTTAAGTCCCCGTAAACCACACTTATTATTTATAGTCATAAAAGGGTCATGGTATCGTAGTTCAGGAAAGAAATTCAACAATTGTCATAATTTATATCAAATGAATAGTATATATTTTTGTTATTTATAAAATGAATAGTATATCTTTTTTTTATGTATTTAAAAAGTCATAGTAATGTATGTTATAAGGGCTAGGGTTACTTTTTAAGTCAATGTATAGTATATTACAAAAAGTAACAATTATTCACGTTTGAGAAGCTCGATCAATTAACTGATTTAACGACTTGAGGTTTCAGCTCAGATTTGTATTAAACGTGTAACAAGTCAACCTTAAGTTAAAGTATGCAATGCAGCGCCATCTTAAACCAAATTGTCACTTTGACTGAGACTGCTGCAACTGACGATGATGAAGAAAGGAGCCATTTAAGAAATTATTGGTTAATAGTGTTTTTTATAATACCTAAAAGTAGTTAGGTAATACAGGTGCATCTCAATAAATTAGAATATCGTGGAAAAGTGAATTTATTTCATTAATTCAATTCAAAAAGTGAAACTCATATATTATATGGATTCATTACACACAAAGTTAAATATTTCAAGGCTTTATTTGTTTTAATCTTGATGATTACGGCTTACAGCTAATGAAAACCCCAAAATCAGCTAATGAACTCAAACCACCTGCGAAGGTTTCCTGAGCCTTTAAATGGTCTCTCAATCTGGTTCAGTAGGCTTCACAATCATGGGGAAGACTGCTGACTTGACAGTTGTCCAGAAGACAGTCATTGACACCGTCCACAAGGAGGGTAAGCCTCAAAAGGTCATTGCTAAAGAAGCTGGCTGTTCACAGAGTGCTGTATCCAAGCATATTCATAGAAAGTTGAGTGGAAGGAAAAAGTGTGGTAGGAAAAGGTGCACACAAGCAACAGGGATAACCGAAGGCTTGAGAGGATTGTCAAGCAAAGGCCATTCAAAAATGTGGGGGAGCTTCACAAGGAGTGCACTGAGGCTTGAGTCAGTGCATCAAGAGCCACCACGCACAGACGTATCCAGGACATGGGCTACGCATTCCTCGTGTCAAGCCACTCCTGAACCAGAGACAACGTCAGAAGCGTCTTACCTTGGCTGAGGAGAAAAATAAATGGTCTGTTGCTCAGTGGTCCAAAGTCCTCTTTTCAGATGAAAGTACATTTTGCATTTCATTTGGTAATCAAGGTCCCAGAGTCTGGAGGAAGAGTGGAGAGGCACACAGTCCAAGTTGCTTGAAGTCCAGTGGGAAGTTTCCACAGTCAGTGATGATTTGGGGAGCCATGTCATCTGCTGGGGTTGGTCCACTTTGTTTTCTCAAGTCCAAAGTCAACGCAGCCGTCTACCAGGACATTTTAGAGCACTTCATGCTTCCTTCTTCTGACAAGCTTTATAGAGATGCTGTTTTCATTTTCCAGCAGGACTTGGCACCTGCCCACACTGCCAAAAGTACTAAGACCTGGTTTAGTGACCATGGAATTACTGTGCTTGATTGGCCAGCAAACTCGCCTGACCTGGACCCCATAGAGAATCTATGAGGAAGATGAGAGACACGAGACCCAACAATGCAGACGAGCTGAAGGCCGCTATCAAAGCAACCTGGGCTTCCATAACACCTCAGCAGTGCCACAGGCTGATCGCCTCCATGCCACGCCGCATTGATGCAGTCATTCATGCAAAAGGAGGCCCAACAAAGTACAGAGTGCATACACATGAACACACTTTTCAGAAAGCCGACATTTCTGTATTAAAAATCCTTTTTTTTTTTATTGGTCTTATGTAATATTCAAATTTTCTGAGATACTGATTTTTGGGTTTTCATTAGCTGTAAGCCGTAATCATCAAGATTAAAACAAATAAAGGCTTGACATATTTCACTTCGTGTGTAATGAATCCATATAATATATGAGTTTCACTTTTTGAATTGAATTAATGAAATAAATGAACTTTTCCACGATATTCTAATTTATTGAGATGCACCTGTATATCAGCTTCCAGTTTCTGTTGCCAGATTTTGTTACACACGTTTGTACTTTTTCAAAGCCTGTCTCTGATGCATTTCTCCCATTAAATAGCAAGGATGATGACGGTTCATAAAACTTGCAAAGAAAGCAGCGTTTATTCACAGGTTTACTTGCAACCTTTCATCACAAGTTGCAAGTGTATGACAATATTTGTTGCAATTTAATCGACTAATAAAATGATACAATGTGTCTTCAAGAAGAAATATAATTAAAGCTGAAATAAAAGAGAATAGTGCTGCAGACCCGCCTGCTGTCTGCGCTGAAACAACACATGAGGTTGTGTGTATGTAGTTGTGTATTGTGTGTCAGTACCTGGAACGTAGTCTCCGAAGCCGACAGTGGTGAGAGTGATGACCACAAAGTAGAGCGACTCCAGAAAGGACCATTCCTCCACTTCCTGAAACACCACAGTTGGCACGGCGAGGAAGATCAAACAACCAATCAGGATGGAGAGAACGGCTGAGATCACACGCACCGTGGTCGGCCGGATCTTACGCTTCTGAGAGAGGAAGACATCACATAAAGAGAGGAAACAAATGAATACTTAAGACTGTAAAGATGGGATTAATTAAACAAGTCTACAAGCCGTTAGAGGTAGAAGTTTGTAGTAACACATAACCCATTTTATTACACTAGGCTTTCAGTCTAGAACCCTAAAATGTTTTCGTTTTTCTTACTTCCCACCAGATTGAATCATTTTCTCATGTTTGAAATATATCATATTTTCCTGGTTTCCACTAAAAACATGTCTGCTGTATTAGTTGTTTGATGAAAATCAATGTTGTTGCAAATCAATGACATATCCCAGAATGTGGACAAAAAGTAAAAATGTATTCAAGAGTAAAGTAAAAATTCTGAAGCATTGATGTTTTTTAAAGACATCCAGGCAGCTTAACCTCTTAAGCCCTGAGCCTGTTTTCAGGTCTCAGGCTCGAAAATGACATTCCCAGAACAAATGACCATATCTTCCCTTCTAAAAGGGTTAAATTAATAATCTTTATTCTCAAAGTAATGATAAACCTGTGAGTTGGATGTAGAAGAGTCAAAATCAATATAGATGTTTTTTATTTTAAAGAAAATTCAGATTTTACATAGTAAAAAACTGTAAATTATAGTGTCCGTCCAAAAATTATTTTTTACTTATAGTGAAAACTACCCTTGGATGATGGGTTAGTAGACTAAAAGCTTTAGGAATCCAAAGTATAACATATAATAAGTACCCTGTATCAAGATTGATGCAAAACAAGTGAAATTTGACCTTTTTAGAGAGATTTAGCCAAAAAACCCACTTCTGGGATCATTTGGGTGGATTTGACCTATCTCTGGCCCCCCTTGGTCGATTTTGATGAATGAAATCTCTTTATAACCGCTAGAGCCAATGGAATTGAGGGAAAGTTATATACACACCAAAACGTTAACAAATAAGGAGTGAGAGTGACGCGTTACCAAAACCGGAAGCTGCATACACTCTGGTGGCTACCATTAGCAGCTAACTTTTCCGCTCCGATTTTTACATAAAAAATGGAATTATGGATTATAAATAATTTCTTCAAAGGCACAGATACATTATCAACCTATGGATCAACAGTTGTAGCATTTTTTTTTTTCGTTTTAATGCCATTGAACACGTCTTTTGACCTAATTGACAGCTACGGTGAGAGGATCTGCCGTAAAAGCTCCGTAAAGGTACGTGTTGTGATGTCTGTGTTTGCTTCCCCTGTCGCAAGTTCGGATCGCTCAGTGATGATACTATACCTAAATAATCAGTGGAGTCTCAGCTTTAATCGGCTGTATTGTATGTGCAGCTACGATAAGTAATAAGGGTATTTTTATCTTGAATTGTGTGCCGCAGTGCGTTAGAATCTTTTCGCTCAGGGGTCATTTAGACGCTTCTTATGAGACTTGTGTTTTGTTTTGGTAAAAATGGTTCATATCTTCAGTTAGCTGAGATTCTTCCCGTTAATCTGGTGCTACACATTAATAGTTTCATAAATGTTAAGAAGCCCTGAGACATTATCTCGAAAAAAAAACGGTGGGAGGGGTCCAATGGGGGGATCGCCGTGCTTAAGAGGTTAAATGATGCACACAGGTTAAACAACCAGGCAAGCTAAAGCCCACTTCTTTAATAACTCCGGGAAGGTTCACATCCCAGTAGGAGGTTCTTAACTAAACAATCCAACAGCACTCAGTTATTCACTGCTAAAGACCAAAGGGGTCTGGGCCTCTTGGGGTTTGTAAATCCAACTGAGGTTTGTTCCCGGAGAGACCATTCTCACCAGGAAGAGAGTCTCAATCTTGGCCACGGCTCTGCGCAGCACCGTGCCCATGTGGTCGCCCACTCCAGCGAGCAGAATGCCAAACATCGGGATGCCCACCAGAGCGTAGCACACGCAGAACAGCTGGCCGTACCACGTCCGAGGAGACAGGTTCCCAAAACCTGTGAGAAAATAAAAGCACAAACTCATGGATTCATTGGTATAGCTGAATACCCAGACTGCAGTCTAATAGAAGTCCATGTGAGACCAGACATTTTATTTTTATATCATGTATTCACATTAGCACTTTTATTAAATAAATCAAACAAAGAGTCAGTATCCTGCTCTCAGTGTTTTTTTGGTTGTGAAGATGATGCAGGGTCACGTGTGTTCAGAGTCAAACTCAAATCTTTTAGATATTACAAAAGCTCCCTTTGAAATGTTTGTTCTGCTATTAATACTATTCTACAACATTTCAGCATGTTATCTTCACTTAAAAGAGCATATTGTATGCAAGTAACTTCAAAGTGCAGCCCGAAGTCCCCGCCTACCTATGGTGGTGATGATGGTACCACAGAAGAAGAAGGCAGAGGCCAGGTCCCAGCGGCTGGTGAAGTTGGCAGGAAGGTTGTTCACATCCAGGCCGGCCTCCACCGCAGACACCACTCTCTGCAGGGGGGGGGGGGGGGGGGGGGGGGGGGGGGTGGTATCTGAGGTAAGTATCTGAGATGGATACGCTACATTTCTCATCAGGGTTGCTGTCACGACTGGACAATAACTGGCCTTTAAAGGGTTATTGAATGGAGTATTTTAAACTCAATGAAACCTGATTTTCAGGCCAGTTTCAAGAATTCTCTTTTTTCTATGATTTCCATATGTATGTCAACTATAAGCGAAGATAAACATGTACATATAAAGATAAGAGCAGAAACAGAAACCCAAAAGAAAAACGGTATTTATGATTTACAAAGTCAGTGTGTGAGGGATAACGAGTGTGTCCAATGTTACCTTCACCAGCTCGTTGAACTCATCCTCTGTGACGCAGGAGTTGTTATTAAGGAAGTTGTTCTTGGTCTTCAGCAGTTCATCGAACGCAGTATACTCGTCGGGGGCCTCCAGGGTGCCGAAAACAAGCGCTCCCATCACCAGGTACAGCATGACCCCCGTCAGCAGGGCCACGAGGGTGGTACACCGCATGTTGTCCCCGTGGACCCCCCCTGCCCCTCCAGGGTTAGAGGGTCAGAGCTCAGGGGCCGGGATCTGGTCGGGATAGTCAGGATACTCTGGTGCACAGCTGGGCATAAACAGGAAGTTCCTTCAGAGGTAATGTATGTGTGAGCACGGAAATGTGTAAGAGAGCAACACAAGTGTTCTTGGAAGGCTGACAGACATTAACAACCTTTATTTATACATCTGTGCGTCAAACCAAAGAGACGGTCTCTGACAGGAAGAGTCAGAAGGTAAGAGCGGACAAGAGGTGTAAGATAAGCCTTACAAGTCAGTGGTTACATCAACACTGACACTGGTGTTAAAGGAGAACTCAGTTCTCTACTTCTTTATTATAATGTATAGGCTTTAAAAGGAATACAAACCAAGGGGAAAACTGAAGCAGCAAGGCATCCTGACTGCCCTTTGTTTGGCTCAGGCACCAACAACATTGAATCCTTCCTTTCACATAGTGCAGCTTCATATTGTTTCATTATGTAAAGTTGCAATAAAGACTTGGAAAGTTTCTGAAAGCTTGGATATATCAACCTTGACACTTAGAACGGGTGCCTAACCATAATGCAACACCATCGCCATTAGTTAAGCCAGAGTTTAACTTTGGTTCTACTAGTAGCGGCTAATATAGACTTCTGCAGAGATTAGGTTATTTCTTTCTTTAAAGGACCCCTATTATACTGTTTTTCATCAATATATTATAGGTCTCAGATATATACAAAACATGTCTCGGAAGTATTTGGATCGAAAAACCAAACAGATCATGCATTAGGCGCGTTCACACCGGAGTACTTTTACCCGTACTTTTCCCGTTTAGTTCCATTAGTGCCTGGAATTTTGCGTTCACACCAAAAAGAGAACTTAGTTCCGAGAACTTTTACCCCCATTTTTAGTGTCTGCTAGAGAGGTGGTACTATCCTGGGGAGAAAAAAGTACCAATTTTGATTGGCTGGGCGAATTGCAAACCACGCCCCGTTTTGTGAAGCCGCCATTGTATTTGCTGGCATTAGCATTATTAGCATTAGCATTAGCCCCGCGCACCAACGGAGAGAGAATAACTTATGGCAACACAGAAAAAAACATGGGAGCGGTGGAGATGAGGAGGTGTCGGCGTTATGGCGATTTACTCGGAAGGCTTCAGTAGAAGCTGCTGGGAGTCCCAGCAGCTTCTACTCAAGCCAATCCCCAACTCCGGGGACTTCCGGCCGGGGACTTCGGGTGGCAGTATCGGGAGTCCCAGCAGCTTCTACTGAAGCCAGTCCCCAACTCCGGGGACTTCCGGCCGGGGACTTCGGGGGGCAGTATACACCGTGAAGTGGTTTGCGGCCTGCCAGTAAACCCAAAGCAGAAGAAGAAGAAGTGACGTCAGCGGCTTAATTTGCGTAATCTTCCCTCAGGGAATTTATTCCGGTGTGAACGCGATCTGTACTTAGTTCCATGGGGGTACTACGTGCTGGCACTAAGTACTGGGCACTAAGTACGGCAAAGTACTTGTAATTGTAGCATCCCATAAACTCTTTCAGCCCTGTTTCAAAAGTGCTGATTCTCTGTCTGTTACTTTAGATGAAAATAAGGAGCCACTCCCCACGCCCCTCTAAGAGATATTTGGTTAAAAAGAACACAATAGCCGCGTTCACACCGGAGTACTTTTCCCCGTAATTGTTGTGTTTAGTTCCGTTAGTACCCCTTATGTCGTTCACACCAAAAAGAGTACTGAGTGCCGGGAACTTTTACCCCCATTTTTAGTGCCTGCTGAGAGATGGTACTTTCCTGGGGGGAAAAAGTGCCCCAGTTCTGATTGGCTGGGCGAATTGCAAACCACGCCCCATAAAACTCTGAAATGGCAACACAAAATAAAACATGGGAGCGGTGGAGATGAGGAGGTGTCGGCGTTCTGGCGATTTACTCGGAAGGCTTAGAAGCTGCTGGGAGTCCCAGCAGCTTCTACTGAAGCCAGTCCCCAACTCCGGGGACTTCCGGCCGGGGACTTGGTGGTTATTGGCTAATGGTTACACAAGCCAAAAAAATCGTTATGACATCATAAAGTGGCCAAAATCTGATCAGCTCATTTTCAGACAGGTTTTTATATAAATGGATCAGGACAAAAAGTGAGCAAATCTTTTTTCCTGAAACTTTCAGAATCTCTTTACACAGAGGGGACACAAGTTTATGTATAAAAGACATGAAAAAGTGGATTTTGCATAATAGGTGACCATTAACTGCTTTGACACACATTTATTTTTCCTATTAAAATGTAGTTGTCTTTAAACCCAACTGAAGCTGAAGTGACATCACATTAGTTGATTGACCAGACTTCACACAAACCCTCTGGAGCCACAAAATACTTTGGAAAACTGTTATCACATGCAGTATCACTCCCAGAGACATACAAACAGACGTAGATGTGTAAAAACCAGTTCCTCTTTAGTGATTTATGCTCCATTAAACAGAGGTGTGGACTCGAGTCACATGACTTGGACTCGAGTCAGACTCGAGTTACCAATTTGATGACTTTGGACTCGACTTGACAACATCACAAAAGACTTGCGACTTGACTTGGACTTGAGCCTTCTGACTTGAGGTGACTTGATAATTTAATTCAGGGGTCTCCAACACGCCGATCGCGAGCTGCCGTAGGAGAGCAGAATCTTCAGCCGCTGCAACTCTTGCTGAGAATCCATGCAGGCAGGGGCGGGACTTTATTTTGCTGAGCCACCATGCGGCCAATCATATGCGAGGACACACTAGGATCATACCATTATGTGAAAGAAGGGTGGGGGGGAGACGCTCCAAAGACAGCAGGTGTAGTGGTACAGGCCAGCTACAGAGCCACGGGGAGACGGGGAGCCGGATTTAAATGCAAGCGCGTCGGAAAAAGTCAAGAAATTTGCGAAAACCGAAAAAAGAAGCAGCATCTGGCTGCATGTCAATGATATTGGAGAAAGCAAAGCTGAGTGCAGGATTTGTAAAATGAAAATAACCTTCAGAGCAGGGTTTTTTTTTTTTGGTAACCACTCAGGATTTATTGCCAGAGGTGGGAGAAGTTCAGATCTTGTACTTGAGTAACAGTACCAGAGTGTAGGAATACTCGGTTACAATAAAAGATCCTGCATTCAAAATGTTACAAGTAAAAGTACAAAAGTATTAGCATCAAAATATAGTTAAAGTACCACCTGCAGAGGGATCTAGATTCAGGTGTTCTTTTCCCCATAGAGACGCCTCGCTGCACATTATCCCTTGCATAAAGATAGATTGTGGGTCCCTTATAACATGTTGTACACAGTGGAAATAAACATTCTGGTTACCTCAACATCAGGGATCTTATACATTAAACTCCTTCTGAATCAAACCGTCACGGTAGCCTTACCTTACTGATCCCTCTTACAATAGAAGACAAACACGTTACTTTACCAGCAGAGAGAAAATGGATTATTAAATTATTAATGTGACTAATAAAGAGCAGTTTGATTATTAAGTATTATTCTGTTGATCGATGTCATTACATTTGTTGAAAAGCACATAATGACTTGTTTAAGACTCGTTTTGTCAAAGTTTAGGACTTGGACTTGACTTGAACTTTCCCATCCTGACTTGAGACTTGACTTGGACTTGAGCGCAAAGACTTGAGACTTGACTCGGACTTGCAAAACAATGACTTGGTCCCACCTCTGCCATTAAATGAATACATTGTTGTATTGACAATTCAAAGTATTTGAATACTCATTATTTTATATAATTATACAACCTTGTATACAACATGGTAATATTTCACATCTTTACTTCCTGATGAATGTCTACAATTATACAAACACAACGACACCAACAGTTTCTTACCTCTGTCATACATTGTCAGTAGTCTACACCCCATCAGAGATATTCCATTATTATAGTTATGGATATTTCAAAGACCAATAAGACAGCTGTTTTCACAGGAACTAGTAAACCTCATGACAAGTAAACTTATCTTTTTGTGTCAAATCAATGGAATGCTCCTTTTGGTCGCCAGGTAAACATATCCCAAAAAAAGTTGTGTGTTTCCCGTGTCACACTGTGTGAGGTTAACTTGATGTGTGCCAAAAATCGCTCCAAAAAAAACACATCAAAGAACACAGATAGGAAGACACGAGCTCATATCACAATCTACGAGACTGGAAAAGAAGGGCAGCTTGTTTAGAAGTAGGGGCAACGTGACCTCACTCAAACGCAGCAATATTGTAATTTTGAAAGGAACTATTCTTCATGCTATCTGTGGTTTCTTTCAAGATGGATAAAGAATGTTTTATTACCGAGAGGATATTAAAAAAGTACCTTATTACACTGATGTCAGGAGCTCATCCCATGTTAAATCTCCAGAAATCAGGTGACAGAGAAATATTAGAATCCTCTTTTCACCGAGTCTCTGCTCTGGTCCTTCTGTGTCTTCAATGTTGAGGAGCGGAGGACTGTGGGTCCAATTTCTCCTCCTTTAAGACTAGAATTGGGGAGGGATGAAACCCTCTTTATTGGTCACAGAGCAAACAGCACACAGTGACATTTGTTCTCTGCATTTAACCCATCCTAGTACCAGGAGTCTAGTACTAGGAGCAGTGGGCAGCTATTGCACAGCGCCCGGGGAGCAATGGGAGTGAGGGGGGAAGGGGGTTGTCTGGTGCCTTGCTCAAGGGCACCACGGCAGGGCAGGAGATGAACTGGGACCTCTCCAAGTAGCAGTCCACACTCATATTTTAGGTCTGGTCGGGGACTTGAACCGGCGACCCTACGGCTCACAGTCCAAGCCCCTACTGACTGAGCCACTGCCGGACGCAGTAACTAGTAACCAGAACAAAATGCAGAAACAAACCAGCAAACCCACGCATGTTAACGTGTAAATGTAGATTACAGCATTGAGGAACAGAACAGCTTTAAGTTGGCACATTTCCCTGTTTCTCTGTCTGGTACAGCAGGGAATTAGTGGTATTTAATAAGTGTTCGCATTGGAGAGACTTTGTCATAATAACCAGGAGAAACTGATGCACTGCAGGCCGCCCGGCAGTGGGCTCACAAACGATTACACTCTGCCAACGCTCCAAACATACATCTCAACATTAATCGAAAACATGTTTATCGCTTATCTTCATTTGGCCTCTAATGTTTTCTTTGAACTGCGTTTACCGTGGACAACACACACACACACACACACACACACACACACACACACACACACACACACCACACACACACACACACACACACACACACACACACACACACACACACACACACACACACACACACACACACACACACACACACCACACACACACACACACACACACACACACACACACACACACACACACACACACACACACACACACACACACACACACACACACACACACCACACACACACACACACACACACACACACACACACACACACACACACCACACACACACACACACACACACACACACACCCACAACACACACACACACACACACACACACACACACGATCTAGGCGATCTGGGTCAGGCTCCACATGGACCTTGACAATGTTCTGACATTTCCCAGAGTCTGGCCCACTGTTAGCATTCTGCGCTAATGGACTGTTGGCTTGGTTTGTGAGGACCGTCTCACTCTCTGCCCCTGGCTTCAACACTGACAGATACTATTAGTTACCACTGTCTAAACCTCCGCTGGCATATTTTGATATTTTGCTAAGACATTGAGTGAGGGGGGCTTAGAAAGAGCAGGACTGTGTCTGACAGGTGGTGATCTAATCTTAAATTAAACAGTGGAGGCAGGTGGGAAATAAATCATGAGGTGAGCTGAGAAGAAACACAAGGCTAGGAAATGTTCTTTGTTTCTGTTCTGAGGTCTGCATTTAACTTAAGGCAGGTGAGTAGGACAAATCCAAGCAAACAGAGGTGAACTATAGAAACAAAATAAATTAAAACAATTGGAAACGTTCCTTTCAACCTTTTTAGCGTCTAGATCGTCAGTGTTTGGGGTCCGAGAGACCCTGAGCGCTTTTGAACAACTACAAAAAAAACATGTCAAGTCCCCCCACTCAAATGTGTGTTTTGCTTGGTAGTGTGGTGTGCACTAGAAGGCTGTTTTCACATGAATCTGCTGAACATGGAACTCTGTTAGTGCTCACATTAAATCTGAGTGTATCACGTGTACGTACAAGCTGAATATATTACATCACAACTAGTTTGCGTTAATTGTGGTCCAGTATGCAACTTATAGTGTAATGTGGGTTTAACTTTATTGCACGTGCACCAAGGACACATTTAACAGTGAATCTTGCTTTTAAATTGAACAATAATTGTATATTCATATTACAGATTTTATATTGTGGAGGAAAACTTCGGAAGCAAAGAAAAGGCCCAGAAAATATTAGAAAATATAATTCTGGTGCTGCTTTTAAAAAAATCTAATGAAAGCTTTGTGGTCTGTTTTGTTTATGACTCAAGAACAGAGATAGGAAAGGAAAGGTTTTGCCAGGAAAATCTTCATCAGTTCCTTTAAAAAAAATGCTTGTTTGTTGTTGTACTACTTATTTAGGCCACAAAAGGCAAAGTCCACCATCAACCAATGTTCTGAATAAAACTAAAAGTGTGTTTTTCTTCAAGCTGAGGTTTCATTGAGAGAGCATGGAGAATTTAGACCTGCCCTGAAAGAAATCATTAATGCTTTTAGTTAGAGAGCATGGGGAAGTGGTGCACTTCACACACAAAACACTTTTTATGTAACTTAGATACTTTTTGAACTGTTCTGGAGTCAGAATTGCAGGAGTGAAAACATTATAAATTAGATTAAGAGAGTATAAGGCCTTTCAGGGATAATAGAACAATTAACATTCAAAGAGCATTTTGTAAGTGCCAATACATATGGGGAGATATTAAAAAGGATTTTGTCACCTCAATAAAAATGACTTGTCCTATTTTAAAAGAATTGCTCAACATACTGTATTTATCCTCTTGTATTTGCATAGCTAATATAAATAGAATAAGTCACTTGATTGCCATGCTGTGCAGAAAAGAGCGGTTCAACAATATAACATTTTAAAAAACTATTTGAAAACAACATACAAAGCTATTTCCTTATGTTGTGTGTAACGTTGTATTTCGTTTTTTCAAATATGTAGTCAGTTTGTGAAAAGAGTGTTATCACTTTAAATATCCTGCATATGGGTTCTTATTTAAGGTATTACATTTCACTCCAAACTATAAAGATGTAATTGACTGTATCTGTATAAAGATTAAACAACAAGAGCTCTGTTTGTTACAGTCATCTGCCGTCTGATTCGGTCCCACGATTTTCATAAATCTCCAGAGATGAATATGATCGTCTGTGGGTGAGGACACGAAAGAATTTACAATTCTGGGGGGAAATAAAGCCCCTTTAGATGCGATTACCCCCCGAAGTATTTTCCTCTTTTCTAGTGAAGCAACGCTGACGTCAGAGAGATCACAGGTTACAACTTTTGGTTCTCTGGTTTCATGCTCTGGGACAAGAATGATCCGCAAAAATAATGATAGGACTGTGAGGGCTACAGAAGTCGCATACAGCAAGATAAACTAGCTGACATTTTCTCTGAGGCTATACAACCAAAAGAAGAGAATCTCCAATCAAACACTTATCAAATGCAGCAGCAGATGCCTTTATATTTCGTAGCTGCTACATTGTACTGCCATGTGGTAAATGCTTATATGCTGCTCATGCTCTTTCTGCATATCATGTATTTATTTTGCTATGTATATAAATGTCATGTTCTTAAATGTTGTATGTGAGGGACTACGGATGGAAACTAGCTCAAAGCTAAAATCCGGCATGTTTACGTTCTTAAAGCATTATTTGTTTTAAATGTTCATCAATGTGCCCTGTCCCTCTTCAAATAAACAATTAAATGAAAAAAAATGAAAATGCCAGAAGGGTCAGTGTGTGAGTTTATATTGGCAATTAATTATCCTATAATTAATAACAAAAAAGGAATTTAGGAGACAAACTGGACCAAAAACCAAGCAGCACTTATGATCAAAAAACCAAACAAAGTGCGCTTTTAAAGTGACATAAAACATTAGCATCTTCTCAAACGTACGGGTGAAATAACTCTCGGTAACCCCCGAAAAGAAATGATTTTTGCATGTCTTACCTCCAGTTTGGAGAAATGCTGCTATCCAAGTTGGTCTCGTGCAGGATGTACCGTTCTCTCACAATTCAGCGCTCAGCGAGGACCTCTCTGCGAGTGTGTGTGTTGTGAAAGTACATGTGTGTGCATTTCTCCTTGGAAGGTGTTTCCCCATGCTCGTGACCCTACATCACTCTGACAGAGGAGAACAGATTGTAGGAGGAGGAGGAGGAGGAGAAGAAAGGGACGAGGCATGTGAAGTCCATTACAGCGTGCGAGTGTGATTAAGTGCCGTCGCTGCAGAGGAAGAGCAGAGGGCCTCGGAGTTTCCTGAGCTGGACGTGGGGGGGCTCGGCTCTCTAAACCCTCGTCTTTCCATCCTCTGTCTTTTGGGGAAGTCAAAAGAGACACTTGTTTCTCCAAAGTCAGAGTTATGGTCCACACAGTTTTTCGTGCTCTTAAGGAGGAATTGCACAATGAGTTATAAAAACTTTAAAAGTTGGAGAGCGCGCCTCTTCCATTGCCGCTTTAATTATTTGATCAAAGCCTGCTCCTTTAAAGCTCTCGGCACCTTCGACAACGTGCTCATGACCGAGAGGCAAAGGGAGAGGACTTTGGTAATTGCGGAAATACTTATGTGATTTAAACAAGATATTCCACTTAAACACTTTGAGGCTCTCCTCATTGGACCAGGGCACTCATTTAGACTAAATGTCTAAAAGCAGTAAAAAAAAACTCCTCGAAAAAGGTCTAACGCTGGTCACGACTTCTCAGACACAAAGGCGCTCATAGATAAATAAATCCAAACGACAGACACAAGTTAAATAACGAGCAAGCCTTTTATTTTTGCCGCAAACACAACACAGATACATTCAGACATGTAGTGTCGAAAAGAAGGCAACGAAATACATCAAGTCAACCCCAGCTCACTGCCAAAAGACTACAGATCCCAGAGATGTTAAGGCAGCTATAAGAGAATGCAAGAGTGTGTGTGCGTGTGTGTGTGTGTGTGTGTGCGTGTGTGTACATGGCAAATAAATAGTGATGGCATGGAGTCAGGACTGTCCACACTTTTCTGACTAGGTCAACAAACCAAGGCCAGGTGGAAAAGATTCTACCGCTAAATAGAATGAAATATGTAAATACAAATTAAAAAAAATCACTCCACACTTTTAACACAAATATGTCAAAAAACATCCGCTGAAAAATCTCAGCAGGGTTTCAAAGGATAAGTTCACATGTTTTTCAATCTGTCTTAAAAAAAAAAAACTTGCTCTCCAATGTATAAAATTGAAATAATGAATGCTGTAATTGTTGCTCGTGTCCTTTCAAAAATGTTTTTAAAATATTGTAGTGTCCTTAATCAGTAACAAAACCCACTGAAGCTAATATGAAACTTCAGTAAAACAAATGGAGCGGGTATCTTGTAAAGTTATAGTGACTTCTCTGTGTTACTATTACTCTATCAAACATCGGCAAGTGACTGTTTGTTAGCGGTGTAACACTAGACATGTATTGAACCTCAGAAAAATGGTTTGCAGACAAGAGTCAATGTATAAATACATTTGAATAAACATTGTGAATTTATCCGTCCCTTTTGCAACCCAGCTGAAGATCTCAATGTACACGTGGTCCTCTGAGAGTTTTAAGGCAGACTTGAAAAAGGCTGTAGAGAAATGTTCTCCAGATGACAGGGCATTTTCTTTGCTCCATAGAAACCTTTTTGTAGCCAAAATATTTGCATATCTTGCAGCCTTGGACATGAAAACAATATGAACCCATCCTCTTACTTACAAAGCTTGCAAGCCAGCAAAGTGGAGAGATCCCCTGTCGTAGGGCGTAACACAAACTGTACATTTACCGGTACTCCAAACTTATCTACAAAATCTACAGTGTTCATCTACATGTGGGCTACCGTTATCTAAGGCAAAGTAACAAATGTGCAAGATCCAAAATCTATCGATAACATCATATCTCATCACTCAAATAAATTATATAAGCTATCTGAAATTGTCTTTATGCTAATAAAGTAAAGCTTCAAATGAGTTTTTGGGTTGATTCAACCACCGAGTGCTCGTTAGTGTAAGACAGAGAAGCAAAGCAGCCGAAGGAGCAGAGAGGGAGCGCAGCGTGTATCACCATACATGGAGCGGAAACAACACAGGTTACACTGAGTCATAGACATGTGCTCACCCTCTCCCCCCCACACACACACACACAGCTGATGTCACACACACGGTAACGTCAAGAAGAGGACACATGCCCATATTCACAGCTGATGTCACTCACACACACAGCTGATGTCACACACACGGTAATGTCAAGAAGAGGACACATGTCCATATTCACAGCTGATGTCACTCACACACACAGCTGATGTCACACACACGGTAATGTCAAGAAGAGGACACATGTCCATATTCACACACACACACACACACACACACACACACACACACACACACACACACACACACACACACACACACACACACACACACACACACACACACACACACACACACACACACACACACACACACACACACCACACACACACACACACACACACACACACACACACACACACACACACACACACACACACACACACACACACACACACACCACACACACACACACCACACACACACACACACACAACACACACACACACACACACACACACACACACACACACACACACACACACACACACACACACACACACACACACACACACACACACACACACACACACACACACACAACACACACCACACACACACCCAACAAGGAATACATTTAAAAAAATCGAATTTCCCTAACAGGCCTCTCTTGGCTTCTCCCTTTTTGGAAAATAAGTCAAACTTATCTTGACACGCACTTGTTTAGGAAAAGCATGAACTCGGCACTGTTTCATTCAAAGCTGGCTGAAGCTAGACCCACAGTGGAGACTACAACTAAAACAGTCCCTTTGGAAAAGTGGTTGTAAACTTCAAATAAACACCAACAAACATCCCTAACTCTGTACCTCTACACACAGACATACAGGCAGGAGTAAAGTGACACCCTTGTGATGGAGGTCAGAGTCTCCACACAGTCATTGGAGGATAAACTAGTGATCATTTAGATATAAATGCACAGTGGAAGTGTTCCCTCTGCAGGCCCAGTTACCTGCTCACACACCCAGAGGTCCCTGTGTGAGAGCAGCTCTCTACACGGGCCCTGCGTTGGTCTGATGCTTCAGAGCGATGGTGACTGAGAGAGGCTGAAGAGCTGCTGTCGGCCATCACTGAGGTTCATCATCAAGCCGCAGTGATCAGTTCTTTCACCAGATCTCTAGGTAACCGGTACACAAAACATAGAGTCAACCTTTCGGCTTAATAGGAGTCAACACCTCAACTAAAAATTATAATTAAACAACATATTTGTACGTTTATCTAATACATTCTTTGAGTGAGGCGATACTGAGGCAACACACACCACTTGCTTTGTCTCTGCGGTGGCACAGGGGGAATGTCCTCGCACACACTTTGATCACCAGTGCTTTCTGTCTTTAAGCACCCAAAGTTGTGGTTGGGAATTCCAATTTTCATTGAAATTGCTACATTTTCTACTGTTAACAAATCCAACAAAAGAACAAATCATTGAGTAATTAATAAGCCACACTATCGCACTTTGTGACATGCCCAGAACAAATGACTATAGCTTCACTTCTAAAAGGGGTAAATTAATAATCTTTTTTCTCAAAGCAATGATAAACCTGTGAGTTGGATGTAGAAGAGTCAGAATCAATATAGATGTTTATATTTTAAAGTAAATTCAGATTGAACATAGTAAAAAAATGTAAATGATAGTGTCCGTCCAAAAATAAACCATTACTTATAGTGAAAACCACCCTTGAATGATGGGATAGTAGACTAAAAGCTTTAGGAATCCAAACTATAACATATAATAAGTACCCTGTATCAAGATTGATGCAAAACAAGTGACATTTTACCTTTTTAGAGAGATTTAGAAAAATAAACCACTTCTGGGGTCATTTGGGTGCATTTTCCATATGTCTGGCCCCCCTCGTTTAATTTTGATGAACCGTTAGAGCCAATAGAATCGAGGGGAAGTTCCTAAATCCATCTAAACATTACCCATTGGTGAATGAGTGATGCGTAGCCAGCATGCCCAAAACCGGAAGCTGTCATACGCTCTCGTGGCTATCGCAGCAGCTAATATGAAATCTCCGTTATTGACATAAAATGGAACGATGGATTATCAGTAATCATTTCAAAGTGACACAGAGACATTGGATTAACCTTCAGCAGCATTGTTATCGTTTTAATGCAATTGAACACGACTTTTGATCAAAAAACAACAGAGGTAAGACGTTTTTAGCCGTTTTGGCTCCGTAAAGCTAATTTTGTTGTTGTTGTTTGTTGTCGTTTCGCCGCGAGTTCTGATCGCTCAGTGATGATACTTATATGTCTGGAATCTGTGGAATCTCAGCTTGCTAATCGATATCTTGTTTGTGCAGATCCGATAAGTAATACGGGTATTTTACCTTGAGTTCTGTGCTAAGTGCGTTAGCATTCTTTCGCTCAGGGTTAATTCAGAGCCTTTGATATTAATATTGTCTGAAAGCTGAGTTTCTTCCCGTTAAGTGGGTATGACACAATCATAGTTTGTTAAATATTAAGAAGCCCTCAGACGCTGTTTCTTGCAAGATGTTGCGTTTTGCCCCCGCCCGTGGGGCCGTGGGGTTTAACTGGTTAAGGTAACACTGATTGTCCCCTTGTCTCTGAAGGTTACCTGTAGCTGTGCTTTAATCCGTCTCCTCCTCCTGTCTCCGGTCTTTCTGAGGTGCAGGCACCACAGACGTCCCTAACAAACCTCTCCTCACGATGTAGGGACACGAAGGACCGCTGGGGATGTCGGCAAAACCTGCAGGACGGGAAGAAGGGCCGACAGGTGGATAAATAAGAGGATTAGGGGGAAAGAAGATGAAGAACAGAGTGATGAAGAACAGAGAGCAGGAACAGCAGGAACTTCTGTTTTCTGTACAGTCACAAGCGAGATTCAGATACTCGGAGACTGTGCCCATAAACACTTCTGACAGTCGGGCTATTTATAATCCAGCTTCCACCGCATGGCTCTCACTGTGCAGCTGGAACACACGAAACACGTTTCTTATGTTTGTGTGTTCTTTTCTTCACACACAAAGTTACAGGAACAAAGTTACCTTTCATGACGACCTCCGGCAGTCCGTAGGGTTCGTACTCGGTGTCGTCGAAGGCGGCCGACAGCTGCGTCCTGTTGCGACGGATTCGTTCAGCCAGACGGGCCGGGTCAGACGGGATGGGGAAGGAACCCGAAAACAACACCTTGAGTCCTAACTCTGCTGCCTCAGATCGTGTGATAGGAGAGACAGGAGGGGATTCTACCAACTCTTCCTCCTCCTCTTCCTCAGTCTGTGTGTGCGCACAGTGGAGTTCAGGTGGAGCACTGCGAGGGTTCAAACTCTCTTCCGTTTGACTGCTGACACTTTTCATTTCTGTCCTGCCATGTTTCCCTGAGGAACCATGGGTTGTGTTTGTTTCGCTGGTTGCCGTGAGAGCATCAGGTGTGGCCTCAGGAAGACACTCAGATGATCTGGTCTGCTTCGGCCCCGAGACCTTCAGGGACTCTTTGGTGGAATGTGGTTGCCCTGTTTTCTCAGAGATCATTTGGATAACTTCAGTGTCTCTCCTCTCTTTGTGTTGTGTTTGAAATGTTTTGGACTGATGCAAGATGTTGATCTCCTGGTTTTCTTTTTCAGACTCCTGAGTCAGAAGAAACAAGACAATGTAAGGCCTAATCCACAAAGACGTGTGCACAATAATCGAAACAAAGTATTTATTTTATATTCCCCTAGTAACGACAAGAACTGAAGATAGGCAGGTGTTTTTTAGTTTAGATACGAAAGGAGTTATGGACACGCTTCATTTTACAACTTCTTAATATCCTAATAATAATAATATATCCAATGTATTCAAAAGAACAGCGTGATTTAGTAACTTGGACCAAATTAAATGTTTTCAAGAAACTTCTAAGGACATTATTAGAAAATAAGGGACCTTCAGAATTAAGCTTCACTTAGAAACTTAATTCACTTCAGAAACACTTTTTGTTATATTCCATGGAATGCTCTTAACATCCCGATAGCAATGAATATATTAAATGCTTTGAAAAATACATAAAAAAATTTCATCTGTGGAAGCCGTAATACTGTAAAAAGCACGACCAATTATTTTAGCCTGCCGGCTAAAATAACTGGATGGCCTACCTGCCTGTCAGCCTTCCATCTCGTGCACAAACTTATCTCGTGCCCTCATTGGTCATGTGCACGTTCGTGTGTGTTGGAGGAGGGGCTCTGTAAGGAAGTCTGAAGGAAGGGGCAGATTTTTTCCGGTTGTGTATTTTCAAATTCTAGCGCACTCGAGCTGGTTTCTCCATTCTTACCTACCCTACCTTTAACCTTAGCAGTGGACTGGTATGGCAGTGAGTCATCCTTAAAGGGAAACTAACCTTGTCGATGGTGTCAGTGTCCCGATTGTTTTCAAGAAGCTCTGCAGTGTTTTTGGAGGGATGGAGACTCTTGGGTTCGGGCAGGTTGCTGTGCTGAAGTCTTTTGGTAAAACAGCAAAAACATGTAATCAAAGCATGAACAAAGGAAAACAGAGGCTTAAATACAGACACCCTAAAGATATGCATTTAACAGTTTCCTGTGTAAGTTAATGCCATATATTTATATAGTTTCTGTAGCTCTCAGAGTGTGAGTGTGTTACCTGGAGAACAACATGCGGCCCTGCAGCTTGTTGGAGGAGCAGGACAGGAGTAACTCGTCTTCTCTGATGACTGTCACATATTCGGGGCTCTCCTGCTGACCATGGGGAGGCGCCGGGCCCGGGGTCATCTCATCCCCCGGCTGCTGGTCTGCCTGGGACCGTCTGACAGCAGGAATCTGTTCTGGGGTCTCAGACTGGAGGTTGTCTGTGTTGGGAAGGGTCTGGTCGAGTGTTGGGGCTGGTTTGGAGGCCAGTCTCCACATGACGAGCTCCTGGGACTGCTGCTGGGTCTCTGCAGAGAGAGAGCGCAGCCTCCTCTGCAGCTCCTCCACCTGGACAGGAGGGGAAGCACAGGACACAAGGAATCACATACTACTCACTTTGGAAACACAGGAACAAAATATATACAAGTCAATACCAAGCCCCCAGGAAGTGCGCCGGACTCTGTGCCAACATTCGTTGTGTCCAAACGGCGGTACTGCAACTCCCGTATCAGTCCGGCACAAAACAACTTTTCCCCATTGACTAACATGGGGAAAGAGACGTCTGTAAATCGGTGGATTTTTTTTTTAAACTATCCAGTATTAACTATTTTATAGCCCTTATTAGAATCATTAGGTCTTTAAAGTTGTAAAATGCACTAAAAGCCGAATCTAGATTTATTTTCTCTCGCCATTCATTCTAGTGAGCCGAGAGTGGGAGCTCGGGGGCGGGGCTTAAGGGGCGCATGCTCTGTGAGCGCACATACGGGTTCTTCTGCTCTGACAGCCAGGCATGACGGGTAATCTGACGTTTCGCTCTCTCAAAAGTTGGGCCATTTTGTCCTCCTGCGCCAATGAGCAGCTCTCATAGGAAAGAACGAGACCCCGCCTCCCACGCTGTATCCAGTTCTTATTATACATCCATGATCAATACTTCCAAGGTAATGTAGGAACTGGGAAAGAGTTTATGTTGGTGTCAAAACGTTTTTTTTTGTTAAATAATAATTCTGAATAAACTGTTTTAATTATCGTACTTAATCTTTTATATTTCATTAACTTGAACTATTTCTGTCTCTGTTCTTCAGTTAGATATGTCTCAGTTTTGTGTCTGGCGGTAGAACTCCGTCACTACCTGTTGATGCAGTCGGTCGATCTGAAGCTCAGACTCCTGCTCCTCTTCAGCCTTTGAAGGCCTCCCATCGTCCCGTTCTGAGTCTCCACCTTCATCTCCCCTCCCGCTAACATCCTGCGGGCGTGCGTCAGAGCTGATGTCAGTCGGCACACTAGGTGACCTCTGTTCCTCCAAGCAGCACACAGCAGCATTTCCTGTGTCTTGGCTTTGTTTAACTCTTAAGTCGTGTTTGTTTTCACTGTCAGTGTGTGCAGCTGGGGCCCTGGAGTCTGAGATACTCACTCCTTCTAGTCTCAGCTGCTGATTGGCCAATAGTGTGAGCGGTTCTGCATTCACATCTGCTGTTCCTCCACCTTGAGTCTCACCCATCACACAAGCAGAGTCTTGGTTAATCTGAGTCACACTCTCTAGTTGACCTGCGTCTCTCTGCGCATCAGAGACACCGTCTTTAGCTGAGTTTGTCTCGAGCACAGTGACCGCACACTTATTTTCCTGATGTGACTGAATCGACCTCTCAACTCGTGTCTCTTTTTGTTCTCCGTGCTCCACCTCTTTGACAGTCATCCCTTCTCTTGTCTTCTCCTCAGAGTGGATCTTGAGCACGTCCAGCTCTTGCTTGTGGCGCTGCAGTTCCTCTCCCTGGCTGAGGAGGGCGCTGTCCTTCTCCTGCAGCTCAGCTAACAGACCAGAGATGTGCTGGCTCTGATTCTCAAAGGCCATGGTGAGCTGCTTTGTCTGACGTGTCACCTGAGAAGAATATAATAAAAAGGGCAGACGAAAGGAGAACATGTTTATTATTAAACAGGAAAGAAGCCACTAAACTAAAGCCAGGGATTTACTGTGTTTTAGAACAGCTACCACAGCACAACTTCAAAAGGCAAGCCAAAGAATGCTGAAGTGTTAGTTTCCAGTCTCTGTATAATGGTTACTACAATAGAAAGTGCATGCTATTATTTTAATGCCTTCTGTCTGTAACCTTATCGGGTGCACAGCCTCCCATTTGATCTGAGAACAGCAACCTCAAAGTAAATAATATATTATCTTTTTTTATTTGGCTTATCATTTGGGGCAATTGTAATTTTTCAGTAGTATTACTGTTCATGTTTTATTGTTTTATGGTTCAGTGATATAACTCTTTCTGTTTGTTGATACCTTGTTTTTAATTATGTTCCTCATTTGTTATTGTTTTTTTTAAACCTTTATTTAACCAGGTGGTCCCATTGAGATCATCGATCTCTTGTTCAAGGGAGACCTGTCCAACATGGCAGAAAGTAGGTTACAACGTGAACAGAAAACAACAGATAACACAAAAGGACATCGTATTGCAGGGTTCATACACTTTTTCACCAATGATTTTCAATGACTTTTCAATGACCTTTACCTAATTTTCCATGACCAAAAAAATTACTCTTTCTCAGCAGTACCACTGAAACATTTTTATTTTAACATGGTAAGCTGGAAAATAAGGTCTGCATATGAAACATGGTGTGCCTATCTAAAACAAATCAAATAGTAGGCTTACTAGCTCCTACAGACTAAAGCAACTGTAGACTAGAGGGCGTGATTGTAAAAATCTCTCACCAGCAAAATACCTCGTCAGTTAAATGCCATTTTACGTTTCATTACTATACAGTATTTATTATCGTTATAGTATTACTATTTTGGCGATTAGATAAAATATAAATTATATTTGATGCAACTTTAGTTATATTTCCATGACTTTTCCAAAACTTTGGGAAAAATATTGTTTTCCATAACTTTTCCAGGGCCTGGAATTTGCATTTTGAATTTCCATGACTTTTCCAGGTTTTTAATGACCGTAAGAACCCTGGTATTTACAGGGCTACATTTACATACCTAGAGACATTGACAAGTACCAACAGTACCAAGTATCATTGCACCTGTCCGAGCTTTGAAAACAGGCAGTGGAAACTATTTGCTCAGTTTCAGATCTTTTTGAAGACTGCTCCAAGCAAGTGATTGTAATGTTCTGGCATACTCTGTAAAGCACTTTGGGGTGCGTCAAGCATGAAAGGTGCATTATAAATAAAGTTGATTATTTATTATTATCATCTAAGCTCAACAACACATAGTAGCTCACTAGTAGTAGCTAGTTTTTTCAAGAAACAGCTACAGAAAAGAAACATACAGTTAATGTCATATTCATTCAACAAAACAAAAATCTTCTTTAATATCACTACGTCTTTCCTTCAATTAAAATCCAAGTATCACAGTCAATAAGTGATATGCATAGATCAGTTGGATTGAGTCTATTGAGGACTAAAGTGTTGTGATTTAGTTAATAACAGTTTTCTTTCTATATTCTCCATATAAATTGTTTGCCCTTGGCCTGACAAACTTAACGTAGTAAATATGATGTATGGTATCCACCGTGACATACCTGGCTCTGCAGCGCCTCCAGTTTAACCTGGTACTGATTTGCACGTTCTGTCTCCTTTGCAGTCTGCTTCTGCAGGCACTCCACCTCTTTAGCAACATCTGAAGAGGTGGTCTCAACCTCCTGCAGATCAGAAAGGGATTGGTCTGACTGGGAAGACCCTCTCAGATAGTTTTGCTGGTGGTCATCACGGTCAGAGGCGGTGTGCCCCTCATTGGACAGAGGTGAGAGTACAGACTCTATCACTGTTTGATCCCCCTGGGTCATGAGACCGCCTGAGGCCTGAGACGCCAGCATGTTGCGCTGGTTGGTGGACTGGCAGAAGAGGAGGTGCTGCTCCGGGGAGGGGAGGAGCTTGTTGTCGCAGCGATCGATGTTGGAGTTGAACTCATCGTCACGGAGAGACAGGTAAGTCAGCGGGCTGTTGGCAACTGAGAGTTTGTCCTCTCCCAGCGAGTCTTCTTCTCTGCTGAGCTTCAGTTCCTCCAGCTCAGCTTGAAGTTGTTCCAGCTGCTCCTGGTCTGTCTCTGTCCTTTGCCTTCTTTCATCTTCCTCTCTTTCTCTCTCTTCTCGTTCTAAAGCCAGCTGGGCTTTAACCTCCCCGAGCTGTTTCTTTAGCTGGATATTAAGTTCTATCATTTCACTCTCCCGGTCTTCTAGTGCTTTGTTTTTCCCCTCCTCCTGTTCCTGGATCTCCGTTCTTTCCGTTTCCTCTCTCCCTCTTGTCATCTCCGTCTCCATAGCAGCCATGGCCTTCCTCAACCTCTCCGTCTCCTCCTTCTCACTCTCCAGCTGAGCCCTCCACTGCTTCTCCTGCTCGTCCTTCTCTGCAGTCTGGCCGGCAAGTTTGCGGCCGAGTTGTTTCAGCCGGGTCCTGGCTTCTGTCTCCGCCCGTCTTTGAGCTTCCAGGTCCTCAAGTCGTTTCTGCAGTTCTTCCTCTGCGTCCTGTAGCTCTGACCGCAGTGAGGCATTCTCCCTCTTGAGATCTTCAGAGGGCTTGAGTGAGGGAGTTTCTTCAGCACAAAGGTTCGGACTGCATTGATCAACATCCATGGATATGTTAGTGGGCGTACCAGCATCAGAGGGAGAGGAACTAGAGAGGGCTTGATCAAATGTGGAGTGCTTGTTTGTCCCAGTGCTGTCACTCTTTATCACTTCATTTCTACTGTTGTTCTCCTCACTACTGTTTCCTCTGTGTCCCCCCCCCCTGTGAAAGGACTCAGAGTCAGGGGAGACGCGGTCAGTGATGTGTTCTGCATCTCTGCCTTCGCCTGGCTCTCTGTCCGCGGGGTAAGATGCTGCGATCTCAGCCCTTCTCTTTTCCAAATCCAGGTCCTCCTCCCTCTTCTGCTCGGCTAAGGTGGCAGCGCGGGGCTTCTTGATGTGAGTTGGTGGACCCGAATGTGGAGAGTAAGAGGGGTGAGGAGAGAAACTCTGTCCAGCAGGGCAAAACTGGACAGGTTGGTGGGGGGGTGCCTGGACAGCTTTTTCCTCTGGAGTTAAAAGAATTTTAAAAAATCGGATTAAAATAAATAAATAACAGCAAACAACAATACACATCAAGAAATAACAGGCAGGAGAAAAAAAGCAATGAACGTGTGTGCATTGCTGGAATAGTTATTTTGTTTTGATTCTTTTACATGGATGGTGTTTCATTGGTCAGCAGGGGGCAGCGCTGGGAAGAGAGACTTCCGCATTTGTGGAGATTTTACATGATGGGTGCATTTTACACAGCAAAACCAACAATATCAAGCACTCGTTAGGACTCGTGGACTTGACCCTAGTCCCTAACTTTAGGGAAGATTGCTTGGAGGATAAAAAAATATAAATAAAATAGTTTTTCATGTTAAAGCCTTTAACCAACATCATTCCTCAGTCTGTTAAAATAATGCAACTGTTGTTTTAATGAGAAAAAAACTCCAGAATAATTGAAAATACTTTTGATTTTAATTCATTCAAAAACTGTTGAGCAATAAAACAGATATACAAAACATGGAAAAAGGTCAAATCTGGGGAACATTTGTAAAAACTGCAATTATGAAGTGAGTGATATAGATTGAAAGCCTGACAAAATACATGATTTATGCTGTAATGGCCGTGGGATCAAGGTGTGTGGTTTCAATGAGGACATTTGTGTGTCTGTATTCTGGTTACACAGTTAATAAAAGCTTATTATAGAAGCTGAAGTTAAACCTAAAAAACATCTAACCGCCTTGTCAAAATGATAACGCTAATGCAGAAGTTATTTAACTGATAACTCTTAGGGATATGTCCCTCCTCACCCTGCAGCTCTTTGAGGAGACGAAGGGCGTCGGCTCGCTCCTCTGCCAGCCTCCTCCCCTCCTCCTCCAGAGCGCGCTCTCTCTTCCTGCTCTGCTCCAGACTGACGGCCACACCCTCGGCCTCACGCAGCGCTTCCTAAGAGGGTAGACATACAAAACAGGTGGGTTTAATCCAGGGAAATGATCAGACTAGATGGAGTGCTCAGTTCTCAGTCGAACCTTTGTATTACATAACAACACAACATGTTTCATTAAACCCCAACACAGCAAGTCTACCAGATGTATGTCCATGATAAGACATCATTTCTTCTGATCAATTTAAAGCTAATCCACTAATGAGTATCAATCTGTGGAAAATGTCATTAAAATGTTTGCTCTTGGTATCTTGGCATGGTCGACTTCCAGATAAGGAACAACATAATCTGTGATACAGTAGCTCTGTAATCACAGCTCCACATAAACACAGTTTCAACATAGCAACAAACCACAGGCCAACAAGCCACAAATAAAGGCAGCATTTAATGCTGACGTTGCAAGGAACTTAACAATCTGTGCAATGTGGCATTTACTTATTATTATTTTTATAATTCCTTTGTTAGGAAAATCTTACACTGGCATATGGCACATTCAAATGTTGTTTAAAAATGTATGCAGTTCTCTATATACCCACAGCTCAGCTAATGAATAATTAAATGAAGTGAAACACTGACTCACTATTCTCAGCCCCTTCAGGGTGCGCGTGTGTGTGTGTGTGCGTGTGCGTGTGCGTGTGCGTGTGTGTGTGTGTGCGTGTGTTACCGTCAGCTTGGCTTGTGTCTGTGCCTCTTTCTTCTGGCTCTCCTGCAGCTGTCCCTCCGTCCACTTTAGTTTCCCTTTCAGAGTGTCCAACTCTTTGTCCAACGCCTGCTTCTGCAGAGACAGCTGACAGGGGACATAACGACTCAGTAGCTGATTCAAACAGGGAGGAAGATTTGAGGTAACGGGTAGAAGAAACAAAGATGATAGTCGGAGGTAAAACAACAAAGAAGACATAAATAAATGAGTAGCTGCTGTTGAGGGGCGGGTATCAGGGGAAGGTATCAGGGGCAGGCATCAGGGGCGGGTATCAGGGGCAGGTATCAGGGGCAGGTATCAGGGGCAGGTATCAGGGGCGGGTATCAGGGGCAGGTATCAGGGGCAGGTATCAGGACCAGTGAAGGGACGGGAAGCAGGAGGGCGATCAGTGATCAATAAGGAGAATAAGCTGTCTACCTCTGGGGAAGTGAAGAAGCAGATCGGCTTCCCACCAGTGCTCATAGAACATTCTCATGTCATAGTACACGTGGTCGATGTTAAAGGGAATGTTTTTGTAGAGTGCAGTGCATCCAATTTCAGTAATCACATCACATTCAAAGTAAATATTCTGACAATCAGTTCATTGTTAAAATAACTGTTCATGCAACATGATAGAAAATGCTGTTTTCAGCTCAGACCAAACAATCATTAAAGAACAAAAATATGAAATGTTATAAATAAATCAAACATTTAGTTGCAGTCAGCAATCTTCTTGGAAATTAAGGTTTTGTGTCCGGTTTTCTGGGTAAAATGAATGTTCCTGCAGCACACAAGGCTATAATGATATGTTTTACTGGATTCACATTTCAAGTTTAACGGCAAACTCCTCAAAGAGCTGTGTAAATTGGTCACATGAAATATGCGCTATCGGCAGTTGAGTGTGAGATTGTGGGTGATTTGATTCGGCACAATCTGTGTTTACTCTCTGTAGCCTTGCCAGATTATATCAAGATAACATCTGTGTGGTTTGTAAAAGCGCTTGCAGTAAGGCTTTAGGGGACACTGAGGGTTGAATGAATGCTTTTTGTTAAGACGTTTGACACCGTGTCTGAAAGGATAGGATTTTTCATTTGTATGCGTGCTCACCCTCAAGGGATTTAAATGTGTATTATTGTTCTGCTGATAACAAATAAAAATACAGCACCATGTTTCCAAGCACAAACACAGACCTTCATCTCGACAGTCATGCAACTTGCCTCAACACACCTTCCCGCTGATCTCTCATCTGCCTTCACACCTCCCTTACTACAGACTTTTTACTATTTCTCACACACAAGTTAATTGTTTGTTTCACGCTCTCATCATCAAAGCATTCTGCACCCTCAAACGTAGTCCCGCGGTCATTACCTTCACTGCTCAACCTTTCCACTGGGGAGAAACCGAGAGGAGAGGAGAGGAGGACGAGGCGGAGAGGACAGCGGGTGGGGGGGATAAAAGAAACAAGACACACAGAGGGCAAGAAAGTGAAACATAGAGTGTGAGAAAACAACACGGGCAAGAAGCAAGTGTGGGAGAAGAAGCAAGAAGAGTTTATTGAACTTTAGCTTAAAAAATACAAGGAGAATTAGAGAGGGAGGGAGGAGAAGGGAGAAAGAAGGAAGGGAGAACAGGAAACGGTTGCAAAGACAGCACATTTATCAACCGAAATAAAATGAATTTTGGTCCACAGTTTCCAGTGTTGATAGATAAAAAACATTTTAACAAGGTACATTTAATTGTAAAAATAAAGAGGAAGCATAACCGTGTTGATGTTCCTGTTCCTGGGTGTACCTTGTCGGCCTGGGCCTGCAGGGCGTGGTGCAGCGTGCGGGCCTGCTGGAGCTCCTGGTTGAGCTTATTCACCTCCTGCTGATGCTGCTTCTCCAGACTCTGCCTCTCCTTCTGCAGCTCCGTCAGGTCCTGGAGGCAAACACACAAACACAACCACATCTGAGAAACTATGTTCTTCAGCTGTGATGATAACACAGTATTGTTTCTTAGAGTGGAATGGAACAAAAAGCAAAGTGGACACCAATCTGAAACTCCTTCTTGCTTTCTTAAAACCCTTAGATGCATAAGTGGGTCTTTTTTGACCCGGTGAGGTGGTTTTCTTGAAGTATCTTTGTAATTAAAAAATTGTATCATTTCATATTCCAGCTATTCCTCAAAAAACATGTTTTGGATATCATGCCATTCACATTTTAAATTTAAATGTTATACATTTTAAGAAATTGTAGTTTTTGTATTACTACCCCAAGATTCCATAAGTGGGTCAAAAATGACCCGCATGCATTTTCTATGGAATCCTCTGGGAACCTTTGATTCTTATCACCTGTTGCTGTCAGGAATACATTCACTGTAGACCACACAGACTACATCACAAGTGACACCTCTCAGGAAGATTATTTTACACAGCAAGATCTGATACCTGTCAGTGTAATAATAATAATAATACATTATATTTGTATAGGGCTTTTCAAGGACTCAAAATCGCTTTACAATATAAGGGAAGGTTAGGGTGGGGGGTATAGGACTATCAAACTTGATCAACCGGCATGGATTGATGGGCTATGAGTAGACAAGAGGAGAAGAGATGAGTTTTGAAAAGGGACTGGAATACTGTGAGGGTCTCAGAATAGCGGAGATCTTTGCATCAATATGTTCAAAACGGTTTTTTTCAAAATGTAAAAAAAGAAAAAAAAGAATTCTAAATAGTAAAAATTAAATATAAAATATTTCTTGTGTGAACCAAAATATAATACTAAATATTATACAAGTGATTTTTCTTAACCAAAATGAAAAATTGTATAAAAACACATTATTCTAATACGGGTCCTTTTTGACCCACTTATGGAAGAGTGTAGGGTCCAGTCACTCGTGCATCGAAGGGTTAAGCTCTTAGCTTCTCATTCTATTTCTCTTAATCTTGAATTTGACCAAATTAGCCATCAATGTCTATCCGTCTCACCCTCTGATGTTGTTTCTCCAGCTCCTTGGAGCGTTGTTGGTGTTGCAGTCGGCTGCTCTCTGTGTTTTGCCTCTGACACTTCAGCTCCTCTTGTAGATGCTTCAGCTTCTGCTCAGCTCCTGATGCCTGTCACACAAACATCTTCCATTTAAATATTTATAGGATCATTTTCTTTGCTGCCATCCTGGGCTTAGAGTGTGTACCCTGCTGAAGATTAGAATACTTTATTACTCCACATGTAAATAGACTAACTTCTGGGGCCTCATTTATAACGCCTTGCGTAGGATTCACGTGGGAAGGTTGCTTACGTAGTACAAAGCAAAAAAATAGGTACAGACATTTTCCGACATTTTCCAATTCACAAAACATTGCGTACCGGCGAGGGAAGTGCGTACGGAACTTCCTACGCCTGTTTCCCTTTATAAATCACAATCGACTCGAAATGCGGCGCAGCTTTTGCGGGCTTCACGTAACGCCCATATTTGCCTCTAAATAGTCAAAGAAACGCCCATTCATTCATTCATTTTGACTGACTGCATGAAGAAGATCGCAGGAAATGACGACAGAACAGCTAAAAAAGACATCTCACACCGTGTCAGATTTTGGTTATTTTGGGGAGGTCGAGATAAATCATATTGTTTGGTGGATGCAGTTTGAACCAGAGTAGCAGCATGGAGGTCGGATCGTCACCAAAATAAATAAATAAGTGGTCCGAAAAAGGTTAATGACAAAAAGAATACACATAACCTTCCTCAGGCAGTGTGTTTGTCCCGGGGACAGGAGACACCCCCTTGATGAGAAACTGTAAGAAATGATCGGGGAATCCCTCCGGAGTGGAGTCATGACGACTGGATCTGAATTATTTTGTTGTATTTGGTGGTTTGTGTTCCAGCTGTCGATCAGCAACTATATATCCATAATCCACCAGTTAAAGGAAATACAACTAATGTGTTGTGTTATATTAGCTGTACAATTTACCACATATGGTGTTCTTAGTTTCCATACCTCCTGTGTTTTACGAGCGACTTATCAAGTCTTGGCAAACGGCATAAAACACGATTAAACGTGATAGCATATAAAACCATGCTCGTATCTACAACCTATAGAAATGCAAAACGGCGTCAGTTTAGACGTAATTCTGTCCTCCTGCTTACCGCATCATTTATGAGAAAACATTTCATAACATTAACACAACATATTCGAGGTGGTTTTCAATAACATATCCGTATTTATTTATTTCTCCAAGTTATGTTTCTGTGTGCACTGAGGAGTCTCAAACAGGCGTTTGTTTAATCATTTTAAGATTGGCTTTAATCAATGTTTGAAAATGAATTCTTCATATTTGATAAATGAGAGGTAACATTTTATTTATGGTATTATTTCCACATATTTCTCTCCATTCTTCCTTCTGCCAACGGTGTCGCAGTTTCTCGTCTCTCCCGTTTTTGTGCTTAGTGCGTACGCATGGGTTAGAGTTTGCGTGGAGGACCGCACATTTTCCCGTCAAGTTAGTATTTTATAAATCGCAAACATTGCGTAGAAACTGGCATACGCCATTTTTTGAGCGTATATCCCTTTATAAATGAGGCCCCTGGGCATGTTTGTAAGTCACTTCTCATAACCGGTTGTATTTGCTTTCAAAGTGATGCGTTTCAACACTTTTGTTGTATTGTTTTTTTTACTTTGTATCTTGTGATGCTGACACTGCATTTGACTTTCTGTCATGAGGAAATCCCCAACTCTTTTAGAGCTTAGCATAAATACTCTTTACAAACGAGACAATAGGAGAATTGGCAACCTCACAGTCTCTCTCCTTGGCATTGTTTGGGTAAAGGTTAGATTTCAAAGCTCAACTTTTTCAAGGTGCCTGAAAACAAGCGACTGGGTAACAAGTATAATATTCCCAATAGGTTTATATTTTAGGAAAGTCAAAGAGAAATGTTTTGACAAATTAGGCCAACACCCATTTTGTGGACTTGTTGTAGTAGCTGTGATAGTGGCTGTTTTTACCCGTTCGCTCTCCTGAGCCATGCGTGTGTGTGCCACGCTGAGCTCGTTGCGAGCTTTCTGAATGCTGACGTCCTTCACAGCGAGCTCCTTCTTGCTTTGCACCATTTCGTTCTGAATAGACTTCAACGCCTCGGCCTTCCCACATAGCTCCGCCTCCAGAGCAGACACTCGACTCTGCGCTTCTGATAAAGACGCTGCTGTATGGATGAGACACACAGAGACATTTAGATTAATAAACTCACCTGAAGACCTTTTAAATACAACACTAAGACAAAGTCAGAGATGGTGAGTTTCACAAACAATCCTGTAATCGCATAGCAAAACTGGAATTAACGCCTGCTGACCATGTCTTTCCGAAATGTAATCAATTCTTAATTTGATCCTATTAGACATTTGATAGGAAATTGTCATAATTACTACACAGATTCTTGAGTTATGTCCAGAAATATGTCCAGGTGCACTTCAAACTGTTTCCACCTAAATGTAATCAGTTCATTATCAGAAAGAATACCTTGATTTCCTAAAGTGACCACCAACAGACAACAACACAGTTCAGGTCACCACTAATGGTGTCGATCCATAGAGACCAGATCATTGATGTCTGTTTGAACGAGCCTGTGACGTCAGGCTGATGGTTTCCAGAGCCAGGGAAGATGCAATGTCTATCCAACATGGACCTGTACATTTGTCCTGTTTCTTTAATAAACATCACTGTTTAACTTGTTTTAACTGAACAGCCTCCACAGAATGACTATATGATAGGGCTGTGCGATTATGGCAAAAATCATAATCACGATTATTTTTGGTCAATAATTGATATCACGATTATTAAAAACGATTATCCATTTACTTTGAAAACATCCATTTATTGAACAGTATGTTTTTAACAGTTGATTACCCTGAACGTTAAGTATAATTCAACTGAAAAAACGATTTAAAAATTAATAATAAAAAAAAACAATTACATTTTTTCTTTTTTTTAAATAAAATTAATAATCGTTTTATTTCTATTACGTTGTTTTCGTAATCGTTGCAAGCCAAAATCGTAATCGAGATTAAAATACGATTAATTGCACAGCCCTACTATATGAATACCTTCAGTGATTACACGGGAGGGAAATATAATAAAACAATATGATAAAAAACATAGCAGCATTGACACACCCCTCCCTTTATTCCAAAAGCTAAGAGAAGCACTTATTGTTCCACATTGAGCAGTCCCCTTCCTCCTCTGAACAAACACAGAGGGGAGCAGAGGGAAAGAACAGTGTTATATCATAATTATGAAGTGTACCAAGAGCCGCTGTACATCATAAAGCTGGCCTGCGAGCAAACAGAGAGTCTCCGGCTGAGCCAGTGATTTCAAAACAAACCTGTTATGTAACAAGTGTTGTTGAGGTTATACAGAGTGCATGAGATTCACAATGATCACAGTGCTTCATGTACGCTGAGTTTTCAGAGGTATTCCTGTTAAAGCTAAATACTAAAACAGATAGCATGTCATGACTTGGAATCGAAAGTTCAGTTTTGATGATAATCCTCCGCTCCACACTAGGGATGGGAAAGATTAATCGAATATTCGAAATTATTCAGGTATTCGAATAATTATTCAGGTATTCGAATATGAGTTATGAATATTTTTATGAATATTTTTTTTTTTTTTTTGTTTTTTTGGGAGGGATGTTTAAGTTGATTACATATTATCAAATTGAATAATTCAATGTATACGACAGTGCCATAGCTAAATGTGTTAGGTGACGTCTAAAGGTGTGTTTTGCTCCGCTCACCGGTCCTTCACAGCAGGCAGAGCTGCAGGTGCTGATCTCTCTCTCTCGCGTCCGGTACTTCACTCGCGTTTATGTCCAAATCCATCAGATCTAGCTAGTTCTAGCTAATGATATGGCTGCTGCCCCTGCCTACACGCAAATCACACAGACTCAAACCTCATTTTATGCCCAAATGCGGCGCAAATGCGCTCCGCAGCCGTTGCGAGGTTCCGGCGCTAACAGTTCATGAGCGTGCTCCCGCGCCCCCTGTCAACACTCGCGACACATGAGTGGCCAGCCGAAACAACAATAAGCACTGCTTGGCAACCGTGTGTGGCGGCAAAGTACATAGACATTTTGACAGGAGAGATTTAGTTTTGCCGGTATTCAACATATACATAGTCCGGTAATTATTTACACTCTAAGAAGAGTCCTACACAACAGACATGGCGTCAAAAAGGAGTAATGTGTGGAAATATTTCGACCAGGTTAGTGAGTGCGGTGTAGAGTGCAAAGTATGCCAAATTAAACTTATATATATATATATACATACATACATATATATATACATACATACATACTATAGGCTACCTTGCTATACCCTGAGAGGGTCTTCTCTACAGCTGGCCTGATTGTGAATCGCCTCCGCACATGAAAGCTGTAGGCCTATAGCTGTCAAACTGTGATCACCAGTTCAATACATTTGACAAATTCGATTTGGTTTCTATACTTATTTGAACATGTATTTATTTATTTCCAAAAGTTATTGAAAAAAAAAAAAATTTGAATTTCTTTTTTATAGGATATGTACATTTCGGTTAACCGGTTAACCGTTTTTTGGGGGGTCGAATATTCGATTATACATTTGCTTTTAAATTCCCATCCCTACTCCACACACTCATTCATCTTTCCCCAATTTAGGTTTAAATCCATCCTATGCTGAGATTCTGATCTTTTAAATGCTAATTTGCATCAAAGATGTGGGGCTGTGGGGAATAGTTTGAAGCCATAAAGCTTTATTTAAAATGTGGCATTGGAATTCTTATTGTGGATTTTTGTTTGCATGTTTCAAAATTCTTTGTAAACCAGGTTTTTCTAAAAGGTAGCAGATTAGATTAGGATACAAATTACATTTAAAGGTTAGCTGCAGAGGATTTTGTCAGACTTGTGTGATGCGTGTTATGTTTGTATCTAAATGATTCTGCTTCAATCCTTTTGTGTTGGTTTTATTATTTTAAAAACTAAATTTGAATGTGGTAAAAAAACAAAGTGTGCTCTCAGGCTTGCCCCACAAAGAGGGAGGTACGTACTAACAATCTGTGTTAAAACAAACCAAGTTGATTTAAGAAGATTTACTTACTTCATCAATTACTTAAAATGTAGGATTGTATTCAAGGATTTAAAAAAAAGGTTTAGAGTGATTACATTAGAAAACCTTAATAGTAGGTTTTAATGTAAAAAAGGGATTGTTTTAGGGATCGTCTCAGAGCAGGATTCATTAGGTAAAAGCAGAACTTCTGTTTCCTTAAGTCCATGCTGGGACCCAGAGATACTTAGTGCAGTTATCCAGATAACTTCATTAATCCTGCTTTAGGCGACAGGCTGCCGGGGTGATCTGTATGTTTATCTTTACAAACTGCCCGGCCCCCAGTCGTGCCCCTTCACCATGGTGACCATTTTACATCACTCACTGTCTGGCTCCGTCCTCCGCTCCGTCTCTTTCCCATGAGCCCTCTGCTCCGACTGACTGACGACCTCAGTGCAGGGCGTCTGGGGAGAGCTTGGGGACGGTCTCCTGGCTGCTGACCTGGAGTCATCCCGTTCCCACGGAAACGCAACCAGGGGAGTGGAAAAGATCTCCGATTGGTCGGACGGGTGGCGGTGGGGTGTGCTCTTGTGTTGTTGTCGTGGTAACGAGGCTGTGCCGGCTTCGGGGAACTGGAGCTGCTGCAGTAGGGAGGAGAGGAGGGAGAAAAGGGGGGTGAGAGACAGGATGTCAAACTAGAGAGAATGTTTTGGCTGAATTTACAAACAACAGGGCTCCAGAGTCTTTTCACTAAAACAGCATTTAAAGGAGAGGTGTCATGGCCATTTCCACTGATCATAATTCCATTGTTGAGGTCTACTAAAATAGATTTATACTGTGCATTTTTCCAAACTCACATTGGTTTCTCATACAGCATCTCTGTAAAGTATGTGTATTCACTGAATTTCACTCTCTGCCTTTAACGGCTCGTTGTAGCTCCAATAGCTCCAGCCCCCACCCTCCCTGTGAGCAGTGTGCTCTGATTGGTCGGGACGTTGTGAATCGCGCTGAGCTCCGTGGAGGTGTTGTTTCCTTGTTTAGGATACATAGCGAAACACAGCCAAACTCATCCTGAGCACACACAAAGTCACAGCCGAAGTAAAAACAATAAGTGTGGCTTGATATTGAATAAGAAAAAGGTTGATAAACGCTGTGAGAATGGGTCTGCGGAGAGAATTTTGCCGCGATCCCAACTGTCTGTTATCAGCCTGCAGCCAGGGCGGAGAAATCAGCTGAGCTGCCTGCTCCCTGCACACAGATGTGTGTGAGAGGAAGTCCGTGGATTGGTCAATTTGGACCAATCAGCGGGGGCTTAACGTAACGGCTCCGCGGACGTAACGTAACGGCTCCACGGATTGGTCCATTTCGTTCCGGGTACGGCTTGACATCATGCCGTCCCGGAAGAATCAAATGGACAATGACGTATCTCCAACGAGGCGTTTTGGGGAGGTATTTTCTGTGTTAAGGCCCTGACACACCAGGCCGTATTCGGCCGTCTTCGGTTGTCTGGCGACAACGCGTTCCTTGTCGCCCAAAGTCAATTTGGTGTGTCCCGAACCCTCGGCCGTGACACGCCTTATTTGGCCTGTCACGGTCGACACATGGCCGATTCAACATGTTGAATCGGCCAAAATACGGACACAAGCTATCGGGCCAAGAAACCACTCTGATCAGCTGTTCAGCTAGCAAATGAGAAGCGAAACGGAAGTGAGGGACGTAAACAAACGATTTAAAAAGGCACAGGACAGCAGCTAAACACCAGCAGGTGATACTTAAAGACATCAAACATAGCCCTTAAATGTCCTCTCTTACCTCCCACACATAGCAGGGACATCTCTGATATCGACGGGAGCGTCCCCGGCTGTCCTCTGCTGAGAGCTCCGTGATTTGTTTGGTCAAGTCCGGTTTTTCATCTCATCGGTTTATTTGTCAGTATAAAGTTGCAGGATTAGTCTCAAGTACCTCAACATTCTCCTTAAGTACAGTGTCTAAGTAAATGAGATAGTGTCTACTGCTGTTCATTTACCTATTGTGAGTCGCCTCGGATAAAAGCATCACATGGAAATGTAAATTTAGCAAGAAGTGGCCATAATTACATTACATACATTACTACATTGCTGACTCAATAAACTACACACCCGCCAGAACACTGCGATCATCAGATGCAGGTCTATTAACTGTGATTTTATAGTATGTCTGCACTTTATGTGCTCATTTCATCATTCATGTATTTTTATATTCTAAAACATGTTTTCGATGGACGAGAGTGAAAATGGAACGCACACGCTATTTGTTTGTTTATATCAGTCTGTTCTTCTTCTCTGTCTTCCGGTTGTTGCCTATTTTGAATGACGAATACACACTACCGCCGCCTGCTGGTAAGGAGAGTTATTGCCACTCACGCATGCGCAGTTCGTACGTGCTCGGCTGAAGTCTTTGCGGTGTGTTCCAGTGCGACACATGGCCAAGACGCAGGAGAACTCGTCGATGGAACTGTCAGTGTCGGTGTCGGCGAGTTCTCTGGTGACTGCCTGGTGTGTCAGGGCCTTTAGAGTTTTACTCGCTATAGTGTGTACTTTGAGGGTTTTGACTCTGCACACCGTTTACATGCATACAAACCTTCATAACACACAAGGGGACGGGTAATAACCGGAAAAGCATGACACCTCTCCTTTAACTAAAGTATGACTTCCTGAGATAAACTCTGTAAAGCCCCACCACATATTTCTGACACTTTCTGAACATAGGAAAAACCAAGAGAGCAAGAGAGCAAGAGAGCAAGAGAGCAAGAGAGCAAGAGAGCAAGAGAGAAGAGAGAGAGAGAGAGAGAGAGAGAGAGAGAGAGAGAGAGAGAGAGAGAGAGAGAGAGAGAGAGAGAGAGAGAGAGAGAGAGAGAGAGAGAGAGAGAGAGAGAGAGAGAAAAGACACAATTCAGGTGTGAAGAGAAGCCTAAAGGTAAAATGTAATTTTTTAGCTGTCGTCGCACGCGGAACCCTTTATTGGATTTTTAGCAGCGAAAACTAGGAAAGACTTGTCTTAAGCAAATGTCAGTACTGAGTAACACTTAACTACTGCACCAAATCCAAAGCTGTAGTAAATCCCAAAAATACTCAAGCTGCACAGCTGTTAGGAAATAACTTTTTTAAGAATTATACTATTTACAATAAAGAGGAACAAAAGAATAAGGCTGTCTGAGTCAGTGTCTGCTTTTACATTTCTTCTTAAAGCGAACTCGCATCAGGAAACACAGATTGTGTTGGAGTTACCAGTTTAATTAATTGTTTTTTAATTTCTTGTAAATGTATATGAATGTTTCCCCTTCATGCATCTCATCATGTATTTTATTTCCATATTTTCAGTTTGAATCACTTTCTACTTTGCTTTGATCAGTGCTTTATAAAAGTCAGAACAAACAAACAAACTAACAAAGAAACAACGTTTTGATAGATGATACATCCTTGGTCATTAATTGAATGAGTTAACCAAAGTGAAAACACTATGCATAACTCATCAGAAAAATGTGATGGTACTTACTCGGCTGTGAAGCGCCCGGCTCTGTCCTTCATCTTTGTGCCCTGACCTCTCCTCCTTTCTGCTCCCTACAGGGCAACAACAAAGCATAAATGAATGGATTGGTACCTAAAGCAAACCCAAAGCTGAACTGAAACAGCAGAAGGGTTTACTGACAAGAAAAGAAAGAGTAACAGTCCTCAGAGAGTGAAGGGTTGTGAAGGGACATGAGCTGAGGGAGTTTATTTATAACCTCTATGCTCACATGGGAGCCCTTGTTTTTTTTATTTTCCACACTTTATATAAATGAAAAGGGAGAATAAACCCAGGAGTCATGAAGTGACTGTACTGTAGGACTGTACCATTGCTTTCCCATGGCGAGGCTGTATTCCAGCAGGGTGTAGAAAACAGAGTGGTGTCCGCCAATCGGCTGCTGTTCTGCAGCTTCTCCAGCTCTACCTCCAACCTGTCAGAGAGAGAGAGAGAAAGAGAAAGAGAAAGAGAAAGAGAGAGAGAGAGAGAAAGAGAGAGAGAGAGAGAGAGAGAGAGAGAGATGAGAAAGAAACAGATGGTAAAAGTTTAGTGAGGTCGAAGGAAACAAAGATATCATGAAGAACGAATGGCCTGATGAAATGGATGAAGGATGTATCTTCTAATCTATTAGCTCCATATGAATTGTTACCCTTCCATCACATCAAATGCATCTAGCAAACTCATATTTAGAAAAAGTACCAGAAAAAGAATTGAAAAAATCCCAATGGCACATTATTGCTAACCGTTTGACTTCCTGGGTGAGTTTGTTGTTGAGTGTGCGAGCGGCGTCTGCCTGGCCCTCCAGAGAGCACACTTGGGCCTGCTTGGTGTGAAGCTCCTGTGTGAGGCGCTCACTGCTGCTCACTGCCGCCTTGGCCTCCTTGCTGACGCTCTGGAGCTCTCTCTGCGTGCAGACCAGCTCCCCATGCACCTCCTCATACTTGGTAGGGGAGAGGAAGAGAAGGCGGATAAGGAAAGGTAAATATTTTAGGATTATACTAACAAAACTGAAATAACAAATCCTGTCAGATACGATTGACTGTGGCAATGTTTGACAGGATTATACTTCAACTTTAGTTTATTTGAAGTGCACATTACAGAGACTCTGTACACTTTAAAGGTCAGTAAAGCTTGCTCGTGTAACAATGTGAATGTGACAACAAGGTTGAGGTTAGTAATGTTGAAAAACAAAGCTGCCACATGGCTGCTTGTACCTTCGATGTCTGTTTTTCGAGGCTTGTATGGATGTTGTCCAGTTGAAGCTGTTTCTGTTTGCTCTCTCTGGACAGTCGCTCCTGATTGACCTGCAGCTCCTTCACTTTCTGCAGAACCCGTCCCGACAGCCCCACGGTCCAGTCCTCCTCCGCCCAGCTCATCTCTCTGTCTGGGCCTGACAGGGTGGGACAATAACTTTCAGCATAAAACATCAAATACAAGTTTGGCTTTTTTGGGTTAGTTGTATTGTTTTTCATGCATAAGAATCTACTCTGGAGAAAACATTTATTTTCAATCCTGAAGGCAATTTGTGTGCAAATGTATGCATTCATAAGAAAATCAGCATGCTGACCTGTCCTGTTCCTGCTTGACAGATCAAAAGTCAGGCAGTGCCTGGAGCCATAGGAGTCGGCAGCTGGAGTGAAGAAACTACTGCACAGCCTGCAACAAAGAGGAAGTACAGGCCTGTTAAAGTAAGGTGTAGGGAGTTCTAAGTCAATTTGTGTTGTGACAGAGGATCCAATCCACGCCACATGTATCTAAACATGTTTTAATCATCTGTGCCTCTCGCTGTGAGTCTTGTCCAAAGAATGTTATGTTGCTAAGGCTTTGGTCCCACAGGGAGACGCTTGTTGTCACCGCTGGGCAGCTGTGACTCAGTGTTTTCCACAGACCGCCTGCAATGTTGCAAGTTGAAAATATATCCATTCTCTCTATAACTTCTGCAAGAGCTAAATGCGTGGATAAAAACGGTTATATCCTGCATATAAAGCTGCAAACCATGTTTCAATAGCACTTAAATGGGTTCATACAGTAAGGTAAACATTAATAATTGAGTGTTGGAATGAAGAAAAGCCTGATTCGTGCAAGCTGAACCGAGTTTTGACATGTACTCCAGCCTCAAGGCTATTAGCACTATAACTTTGGTCAGATTTTCTCAGTGTGTTTACTTGTGTCTGAAAATGAGAGTGGCAGAAATACTAAACTGAAAGGACAGATGTTTTAGTCAAATTCACACCTTATTTTAAAACCTGATTGTTCTCAGAAAAGTCTGTCCAGGAAGTTCAACAGCAATTTACAAAGATTTAACAAATAGAAAAACAGAAAATCCTGATATGTAAAAATGGTGCCAGAGTGTTTTTCTGAACTTTGACTTCAGTAATACATTATAGAAATTGTAGACAATAAAGACAATGTAATCAAATATATTTTTCACCTTGAGTCTAATTCACATAATTGATCAAATAAAAGCATCAGTGACTTTTTAAGGGACAGAATGGTTAAGTCCCTGAATTATTTCCTGTAATGTCATTAGTGTTTTCACAGGGTTAGGGTTACTTACCAAGATAGAGACAGGCAGGGGATCCCGCACCTGTCTCTATCTTGTGATCAAACAAATACAATGTACTGGTATGGCAAGCCATGTAGTCACTGTACATTTTAAAATAAAAATGCTACATTTCTAAATTATCTTTAAAAAAGAGAGGTGTATTCAATAATTAAAGCTTAGAGATAATAGAATATAGGTACTTAAATCTAGCAAAGTTAAACATATAGACATTATATTTTCCTTCCAAGTAAAAGATCTTGTAGACACCTAAAATAATAATATCCTGAACTTGATCAGAAATATGAACCTGCACTATACAAATTAATAAAAATTAGCTGAACCTTTACCAGCTGTGATAAACACATTAATGCATCAATAATTCTAATCAAAACATATGATATATTATTCTGAAATGAGCCAATCTGCATAATGAGTACTTTTGGTACTTAAGTATATTTTGATGCCAATGCTTTTCTACTTTTACTTGAGTAACATTTGAATGCAGGACTTTTACTTGTAACTGAGTATTCCTACACTCTGGTACTTCTAGTTTACCGAAGTACACAGATAAATAAGAGCAGGTTTGGATTAGTAGAGGAGGCAGAGATCCAGCAGCTGGACCCTGGCCTGTGCTGGACTGATCACGAGGTTCAAACAGAACAAGTGAAAGCTGACAACCTTCATAACAAACAAAAAGTTGAATTTCAATGTAACAGGTTAGTGGATCATCCAGAACCGTCACCATGACCGGTTGAGAAGGACGTTTCCATCCGCTGTTAGAGCTCGGCTCATCAGCGGACAGTGACTGACAACCCACCTAGCACTCATGCTACAAGCTAACCCCGCACTAAAGCTACTTACCCCGCAGTTTAGAGATACAAAGAGCGCCAGTCGCCGGGTAGTCTCACCCGGAGCCGGGCTCTGGTACCGCTGGTGAGCCCCCACAGCCTCCGGTTCTGCTCTACTACTCAAAGGGTCAACGGTAGCTCCGAACGGAACCGGTGCTACCAACTGACGAAGCTTCCAACTGACGTTAACTGACAGTTTTCATATCTGAGGCAAGACGCCGCGCGTCTCGTGCAGCTGACAAAAGTCGTTGTGGCACGAGGCGGGGCGGGGATAGTGACGTAGAAGGGGAATGTTTTGGGAGAAGTCCTCGCGGCGGCTGCGTGCACCTCTGATGACCTCTAGTGACCTCACCACAAATCTGCCGTTCATATCACACTTCTCCTCAATTAAGAGATAACAGTCCTCTGGTATTTTCATTTGTGTATAAATGATTCAGAAGGCAATTACTTTCAAGTTGAATCTATGGGTTTTATTGTTATCCAGTAAAGCCCATGGACAGATGTAGGCCTGTAAAGGTAAAATAGACAGATCAGATGTAAATATTTTTGCTAAAACTCTGGTTGCAGGTCAATGTCGCCTCCTTCTGGGATGAAGTTATAAAAAGAACAACAACAAAGAATAGAATGCTTAATCTTTTAAAATATGTGAGATGCCCAGTATCTGAGTTACATCTTGGGCATTTTGAAAATGCATTGGGGCTGAACTAATATAGCCTATGTGGGATATAATACACACAGTAAATAATATAAAATAGCAGTAGTCTATGTTAACCAGCCTATGTTTTCCATTAACCAGATACTCTTTCATTAAAGTGCCTGTTAAAAAATATCTTGCTTGCTATTTTGTAGCATGATGAAACAACTTCTATAAATCTAAAGTGGATTACATTTGAGTGCATATGCAAAGACGTTTTGTAGGCTCAGCGCTTCTGCATGTTGTAACCTTCTGGTGTAATGTTTTGGTTAGATTTTGGAAGACCACAAAACGAATAATCATTTAAGCCTATATCATGTTTTCATTCCTGGTGTTTGTAGCTACTGGAGGGCAAAATACTAGTATTTTCAATAATCAAAAACATTCAATATATTATTAAAAACTGGTAGATTAATACCGTTTCCGTTTAGTTACAGCAGCAGCCACTGTATACAGACCAAAGGCAACTGTAATTAGATTATAATGGTTATTATAGTCACTCATTCTTCCAGGTAGGCTGTGGATTTGTAAGTAATCTGGGATTTGGTGGCTCAGTGCTGAGTGATGTGGAAACCCAGGAACTGACTGCACTGACCTTACATAAAAAATGCTAGCCATCGGACAAACAACTTACACGTATTGAGTTAAACTTGAGAGATAACTTGGGTGGTTACATTATAACAACAGTCTGATAATTACAGGTGTGTCTGAAGGATAATTTTGTTTGTGAACTGGGAACACATTTTGAAACACACACTGTGTTATTTTCAGGTCTGTGATGGATGTAATGGCAGGGTTCAGTCTGAAACTAGAAAATATGCTGGTTAGTGCTTTTTTATTTATTTACTTAGGAGACATTTCCAATGACTTTACTGACTGATTTTTACTGATTCCCAAAAATAAATCAATATACAGAATTAAAAGTAATATAAAAACTAAAAACACAAAAACAAAAGGTACCAATAAAATAAAAGTTAATAGTGTCACACACAGATATGTATCTATCTAACACACATGTATACATATATAAACATATAAACATATAAACATGGGGAATACTTTATCTGAAAGAAAACTATTGTTTCCCAATCCCATAACATGGTACCTTATTACAGCTTTTGTTTATAGCTGTAAATAGCCAACAATCCCATGCTATTATGTAAACACCCAACCTGAATCGTGTCAGACATACACTACTCTCCCAGGTGAGTGAACATGTGATGTAAGCTCCTCTCTGTCTTTATTAATACAGGATTATATTTATTCTCAATCCCAAACTCACAGACACAGTCCACACTCCGGAGAAGGAGCCCTGTCTGCAGAGGATAAACTGTGGGCCGTCAGAAAGGAGTCTGAGGAGTTTAAATCTTTATTTAATGTCACCATCCCAGAGAGGCCTGCTGCTAATAAGGCTGAAAACAAACAGGGGGATTTCTGAATGAAAACACACACTGCAGTGTTGTAAACCCAGTAAACGGTAAGATGAGTCGATAATCAAACTTCGATTAGAGCATTTAGAGCAGGAGGATAAGTAGTGATAAGATTAATATTAAGAAAACATATTCATCAGACATGACTAGTTTGCTACTGTCATTATTGTGAGTCATGTTCGACCTGTTTATCTGGCGTTATCAGTGTTCTGTGTTGCTGTCTGAGTATGGAAACTGATATTTACAGAATATTGAATGGCATTCAAGTTTCGCATCTTTTGCTTCTTCAATTCAAGTTAACCCTTAGATGCACGAGTGACTGGACCCTACACTCTTCCATAAGTGGGTCAAAAAGGGCCCGTATTAGAATAATATGTGTTTTTATGCCATTTTTGTCATTTTGGTTAAGAAAAATCACTTGTATAATATTTAGTATTATATTTTGGTTCACACTAGAAATATTTTATAATAAATGTTTCAGTATTTATCATTTTAGACATTTTATTACGTTTTGAAAAAAAACGTTTTGAACATATTGATGCAAAGATCTCCGCTATTCTGAGACCCTCACAGTATTCCAGTCTCTTTTCAAAACTCATCTATTCTCCTCTTATCTACTCATAGCCCACTCCCCATCAATCCATGCCGGTTGATCAAGTTTGATAGTCCGATTTTGAGTCCTTGAAAAGCCCTATACAAATATTACATTACATTACATTTAGCTGACGCTTTTATCCAAAGCGACTTACAATAAGTGCATTCGACCAAGAAGATACAAACTTGAAGAAAACAGAATCATATAAGTACATCAGGTTTCATAGAGCCAAAACACTTCAAGTATATCATGTATTATTATTATTATTATTATTATTATTATTATTATTATTATTATTATACTGACAGGTATCAGATCTTGCTGTGTAAAATAATCTTCCTGAGAGGCGTCACCTGTGATGTAGTCTGTGTGGTCTACAGTGAATGTATTCCTGACAGCAATACAGAAATGCAGAAAATGCATGCGGGTCATTTTTTTGACCCACTTATGGAAGCTTGGGGTAGTAATACAAAAACTACAATTTCTTAAAATGTATAAAATGTAAATTTAAATTGTGAATGGCATGATATCCAAAACGTGTTTTTTGAGGAATAGCTGGAATATGAAATGATAAAAAAATGTAATTACAAAGATACCATCTCACCGGGTCAAAAAAGACCCACTTATGCATCTAAGGGTTAATATGCTTTAATGAGTGAAATTCAACAAGGACAATATTGCAAAAGACTGACTTTTGTGTGTGTGTGTGTGTGTGTGTGTGTGTGTGTGTGTGTGTGTGTGTGTGTGTGTGTGTGTGTGTGTGTGTCTGGTGTGTGTGTGTCTGGCGTGTGTGTGTCTGTGTGTGTGTCAACTCTGCCCTTCTTTCCCAGATGTTTCCTTGGTCTGCAGTTTTCTCCTCTGAGCCCAAAGTGCCCGGCCAGCGCAGCTCTGAGGAGTTGGTGACCAACACTCTGATGTTGGAGTTGGGGGCCATGGTGAAGCGCACTGAACGCATCCGTCTGGAACGTCTGACAGAGGGTCGGCGTCGCAGCTCCTCCTCCACCGCCAACTACAGCTGGCTGGCCTCCCCCCCGACCCCGCAGCCCTACGAGCTGACGCCCGGCAACCTGCTGGAGCTGCAGGACCTCTGTGCCAAGATCCCCCCTGCACAGTGTGGCCCTCTGATCATCAGGTGGGAAACGCAGAGAGACATAGAAAAAGTAAATGTGACAGAGAAGACGGAAAGCTTGAAATACAAGCAGGAAGATAGAATAGAGGAAACAGAAGAAGAGCTGCTGTTAATCCAATCCTCATAACACCCTTAACTATAACTTAGATAATATGCTGCATCTCTCAGAGAGGACTTTACCTGACTAGAGATCTTAAACTGTTGTTTCTGAAGATAAAAGAATTAGCAGGTCAATTTAAGTATTCAATAATTGACACTGACTGGCTTTACATAATCCACTTTCCAGGACACTTTGGTGTAATCAGAGTTCATATGTTACCATGGGCGTAGCGAGGGATTTTGGACCCCTGTAAAAAGACTTCAATGCCCACCTAATGGCGATGGCACTTCCCCACTTAGAATGATCATCTGTATATCAATAACTTACCCATATGTTCTGTTATATTCCTGCAGGTTCAGGCAGCTGGTATCTCAGATCGAGCCTGACGTTCCCGAGGTTCCCCGGCTGTTTCGCTCAGTGCTACACGAGTGCATGGACCAAGTGAACAGAGCTGAAGACGTGCAGACTCAGCGCGCTGTCTTCCACAAGCAGCAGCGCAGCAAGAGCCTCTCTTTTGATACTTTCTGCAGCAAGTTCAGCAAAGGTCAGCTTTTCAAGGGCAGCGGCAGGCGAGGCTCCAGGGGGAATCTGCAGCAGCAGGTGGATTGGTACGAGGAGGAGGAGGAGGAGGAGGAGGAGGAAGATGAAGATGGGGAGGAAGAGGCCATCAAGGCCAGGGCGATAAAGGGAAGGAGCATGAGCATGCCAGAGATCAGCCCTCTGGAGCAGAGTGCACAGGGGTGAGGGAGTCGGGGGAGAGACAGTGGCTATGGCTGGCTGTATTCGACTGTACTGTACGTAGCACATTGTTGATTTAAGCTCAATGCTAATGTCAGTAACAAGCTGATGTTAAGCAGGGATAATATTGACCACGTTTACCATCTTAGATTAGTGTGCTAACATTTGCTAATTAGCACGAAACCCAAAGTACAGTTGGGGCTGATGGGTATTAATGGTTTAACATAAACATACCAAAGTATTTGACATTGTAAAGCACTCAATGAAAAGTCAAATAAAAGAGATTACAATTTGGGGAACATGTGATCTCACCAAACCTTCTGTTGGGACCAGGGGCGCCGCCAGGGATTTTGGGCCCCATGAAAAGATGTCACATTGGTTACTTAAACATTTTTTTCTTAATGTTCTAAAATAGTTTGGGCCCCTGTCAGTCACGGGCCCTTAGAATCGTCCTAACTTTTCACCCCCTTACGGCGCCCCTGGTTGGGACTACAGGAAATCTCAGAGGATCATCAAAGTCATTAAGATACATTGTCTGGGGACCATGAATAGAAAATACAAAA